TTCTCTAACTGCTGATTCCACGTGTTACAACTGGTGATGGATGTGTTCACTAAAAAATGCGATGAAAACCTGAATGAACCGCCGGTGATTCCAGTCAAGCCAGCAACTGGCTCAGCTCCCCGTCAACCGCCACTCCTGGAAAACTCGTCAGACTATACAGTGTGGAAGTTCAAAGTCACAGCATATCTTCGTAAAGTTCCAGCCTCGGAACCTTTCGATTATCTCGTGTCCTACCTCAGCGACGAAGCCACCAAGAGTGCTATGGTCAACGGGTTTGCGACGAACAACACTCTCGCTCAGAACTGGAAGATCCTCGACGATTGTTTTTCGATGCTGGTGGATCCCCAACAAGCAGCCATCCGATTTTTGTCACCACATAAAACACCCGGCGAGAATCCAATAGATTATTTCAATTCTTTGCAACAGATGTCTGTGCAGGCGTTCCCTTGTCTTGATGCCACTGGTCGAGATGAATTGATTAAGTCTCGGTTGGTGGAAGGATTAATATGCAGTTCCCAAAAGGAACACTTCTTACTAAACCCTCCAACAGATATAAATGCCTTAAAAAGAACAACATTCCGGTTCACGGCAGCCGAGCAGCTAAAAAGCCCAATTGACATACACCAGCCAACGGCGATGACAGTAATACAACCCACAAAAGCGAGCCGCCCAATAAACTCTCAACACATATCCGACGTTACCCAGTCTTCCCACCGGATCAACAGCCGAAGACAATTCAGTCTCGCTGAGAAGTGGAGATCAACGAATAGTTATCACGGTCGTCAATCCGAATGCCCGTACTGCCGAAGGTTTGTCAAAAATGCAAAGAAATGTGGCCATAATCGTTCTGTTAACACAAGTAAGCCGCACATTTTCCATTTATCTTCTTATGTTAACCATGTGCGCCCCATCACGATCAAGGGTAGAGTACAGGGTATTGATATCGAAATTTTATTAGACACCGGAGCGTCAGCATCCCTAATTAAGAACGAGCTTTTAGGAAGGCTCAACCATAAAGTCCAACAAACGCGATACCTATCCACATTACTCACAGCGAGTGGAGACCCATTGAAAGTGAACTCTAAGGTATGGTTGGACCTAACCATAGATGGACATCTGTTCCGTCATGCATTTTTAGTCTGTCCGACATTGACTTGGGATATGATACTCGCAGTCGATTTCATGTTAGAACATAAAGCTGGTATATTCATGGACAGCTTGGAAGCAAAATTTGGAGAGACTAGAATACGCCTGCACCATACTGACACGTCATTTAAAGCTGTGTCATATGTGGGGATCTCAGACCTGGTGCGGCAAGTAAACGGCAACCGAATACTAACAGAGAAAGATCAACATGCAACGATTGCCGTGCTTCAACAGTTTAGTTCGGTATTCGAAGAGAGTATTTCTGGCAATCGAACTAGTACGGTGCAACACACCATTTGCACGGGGGACCACAGGCCACTTAGGCAACCGCCTCATAGAGTGCCAGTACATTATCAACCACAACTGGATACGATGATAAAGGATATGCTTGACAAGAATATTATAGTACCGTCATCATCCCCCTAGGCATCACCTATAGTCCTGGTTAAAAAGAAACATTCCTCTCTGCCACTCTGCATAGACTATCGACACCTTAACGCCATAACTAAGCGTGACTCTTTTCCTCTTCCGAGAATCGATGCTATATTAGACGCTTTGAGTGACGCATGTTGGTTTTCAACGCTAGACTTAGAATCAGGGTATGGCAAGTGGAAGTCAGACCACAAGATAGAAAGGAAACCGCATTTGTAGTGCCAAATGGTCTATACGAATTCCAAGTAATGCCTTTCGGTCTAACGAATGCCCCAGCTACTTTCCAAAGATTAATGCAAACAGTCTTACAAGATATAGAACCTCATAAATGTTTGGTTTATCTTGATGACATTATTGTGTATGGTAGCACACCCGAGCAACCTAATGCTAATCTGAAGGCAGTTCTCCATCGCCTTCAACAACACAACTTAAAAGTAAAACCGTCCAAATGTCGCCTGCTGCAGAAAGAAGTAGTTTTCTTGGGACATCGTATCACTGCAGATGGAGTAGGCACCGATAAAGAAAAGACACGTGTTATTGTTAATTGGCCACAGCCCAAATCACCTGAAGACGTTCGTAGCTTTCTTGGCCTAGCTTCTTACTACAGACGCTTTGTCCACGACTTTGCATCGTTAGCAGCACCCTTACACCGTTTGACGCACAAAGGACGAAAATTTTTATGGACGGCAGTGTGCCAACAGGCGTTCGATGCTTTGAAGACACGACTAAGCTCTCCACCCATATTAGCCGTTTCGGATACCTCAACAAGCGGGGGAGAATTTACACTTGATATGGATGCCAGTTCCTCGGCTATTGGAGCAGTTCTATCACAAGTGGCCCCAGATTGGCAAGAAAGAGTCATTGCGTACGCTAGCCGTCGACTGGATAAGAGTGAAACAAGATATTCGACAACGCGTCGAGAAATGTTAGCATTAGTAAAATTCTTACAACACTTCCGCCATTATTTACTAGGTAAACCTTTCCATGTACGCACAGACCACCGTGCATTACAATGGCTCAGCTCCTTCCGCGAACCAGAGGGGCAAGTAGCACGCTGGCAAGAACGACTACAAGAGTTCGATTTCACATGCGAGTACCGACTTGGAAGCCGACATACAAACGCCGACGCTCTTTCCCGCATACCTCAAACCGCAGGTACTGTTAATGCAGTTCTTAGCACATCCCTAGAGATCGATTGGCCTTCCCTGCAAGCAGCAGACCCAGACATGCAGATTATATATCAAAGACAGTTACAGGGAAACAATAAATCATCCACGAAAGAGTTAAAGGATCAATCATTAACAACTCGTCGTATTTGCACTAAATGGAGCAATCTGAAATTATATGGTGACACGTCATTCTTAATTAACGAAGCGAGACAACCTCTATTGGTAGTACCACGGATAAAAGTTGAGGGCATTGTGGATCAGGTGCACCGCGAACTAGGTCATGCAGGAGAACGAAGGACGGAATACGCGGTCCGCCAGCGTTTTTGGTGGCCATCCATGCATGAAGATGTAGTGCAAATTTGCAAAGATTGTAACACGTGCTGCCATTTCAAATCGCCTCGACAGACACCTCGTGCACCGTTAACTCCGATGGTGACCACAGGACCACATCAGTGGATCGGCATAGATATCATGGGACCATTAACAACAACAAAAAAAGGGAATCGCTACATACTGGTTATGGTAGATTACTTTACTAAATGGTGCGAAGCAGTACCCCTTCCCCAGCAAGGCGCTCTTATGGTTGCCCGAGCTTTCATCGATCGTTGGGTGTCCCGCTATGGCGCCCCCTTCTCACTTCATTCTGATCAAGGCCCAGCCTTTGAAAGCCACCTCATCGCCGAGATATGCCAGCTATTGGGAATCAAGAAGACACGAACCACTGCGTATCACCCAGAAGGTAACGGGCTGGTAGAAAGAACAAACAGAAGTATTAAAGCCATATTGCAAGCGTTTGTGAGCAGATCGTCGCAGGAGTTATGGGATGATGTCCTTCCTCAGTGTCTTTTAGCATATCGTACATCGGTACATGGCTCCACCGGGTTTTCACCCGCTATTTTATTATTCGGGCATGAATCACGCCTACCAGTGGAGATACAGACGCCCCTGCTGCCCTGTGAATAACAAGAGCATGTACCGTACATACGTACTCTTCGTAACCGCTTAGCTGATGCGTACCGCTTGGCCAATAGCAATTTGCGCAAAGCTAGTGAACATCAAAAGGACTTGTACGATCGTCGGGTGCACGGACCAGTGTATAAGGTCGGTGATCGCGTTTGGCTACGTCGTCCCATGACATTGTCAGGGAGTTGCAGTAAATTCCACCAGCCCTGGCAAGGCCCCTTTGAAATCGTCCTCATCCGACCCCCCACTACGTTCGCATTACGTAACTTGCAACGACCCCAGGATGACGTGATAACTGTACACTATAACCAAATAAAACCAGATAGGATGACAGTTTCCTCGAATGCCCAGTTCGCCAATCCACCGCCTGCCACTACGTTTTATGAGGTACCATCGGAAGGGGGGGGCAGCATATCCATGTCCGAGACCAGGCACAGAGGGCAGTGCCTATTTAAGAAGGGGGGTGGTGTAACGGGGTTGAAATTGCTATGTATGATATACTAATGCATTCTATTTTCTTTATATTGCAGGGCGACCAAACATAAACTGTTTTTAGAGGAAGAAGAGCAAGCCCTATGTACACTAAGCTTACAGGATGACTCATAAGACTACTTTGTAAAACTGACTCTTCCCGCTGTACGCTCGCGCACCGCGCTTTTTGATTTTGAAATAAAGAGGCTCGTGATTCCCACTGTGTTCTCTCTTGGTGTGAAGTCCTTGTTTAACATTGTGTGCTGTGCCGTTTTTCAGATCTGTACTGCTGTTCTCTAACTGCTGATTCCACGTGTTACACTTTCTTACGCTCTGCCCATTTCGCCTGTACCCTTTGGCACGCCTCGGTATTATTTCGATACCACGAGATCACCAATAAATATACTTGATCTGGATTAATAAAGCTTTCTGATTTACGAGTTATCAAAGGAACCAAATCGTTTTTGGTCGCGTAATCGAATAGTAGTGGTGTTCATTGTCCATCCTCGACTCGACACCCACTACATCTGGTAATTCCGACAACCAAACACGAAATACATCTGGTGAACCACAACTGGTAACTCAATTCATCGAGCACAATTCAAACTTGGCCAACTTTCCAACCCAGATCAATTCGGTGAGTCTATTTATCTGTCCACATTTGTTGCACATATTCGTATTGATATTTTTCAATATATAGTATTTTGGCAACTTAATATGGTGGATAACGATAAGAATAGTATAAATATAATAGACTCCGAGGTACAAACTATTGGTTTTCGACCGGTTCCATTTATCCCTCATGATCCAGAAGTCTGGTTAGCGGCACTGGAATCTCAATTCCAGATCCGCCGCATAACCAAACAAAGGCAAAAGTACGCCTTGATAATTGTCTTTCTCATCAGAATTGTTTAGTAACACTCCTTTTTCTTCCACATTATCAATTATAAATAAAATAAAATTGCTTGCAATCTTATCTAATTCTTTCAATCTTGTTAATAATCGATTACCAGTGGCTTCCGCTTCCAATATACGACAAGATAGTAATTCTAAACTTTCCAATATTGTTTTACTTAACGATGTATCCGTTTCATCGTCATCATCATCATCATCATTCTTCAATGCAGAAAGTATGATGAAATGTGAAGGGGAACATGATGAATTATTATTATTAGGAATGCAACTGTTCTCCTTATCATCTTTTAATGATGATTGATTATAATATTGTTGATGTACTGGAGATAAAGCGGAGGAGTTGGACATTTTAATTGGTAAATAATCAACTAGGGATTCAATGAGATTATTCCATGTACTGGCAAGATTAGTAAACTACAAAAAGAATTTTTGGAGAAAGGATAAAAATAAGAATGGGATTCTACGCATATTGAAACAATATCAATACGAAAAATAGAAGTTATTCTCAATTAAACCATTATAACAAAAATCATTTTACGGTTTACTACTATTTATTCTGGTCCCATAACCAACATGTAGTAATAACTGATCAGTTAGAACTATGATTTACTGGTTGAAAGATTCAATTCTCGATAACTGGATTAAGAGATTTGAACTTCATTATTAACAGATATGAAGTGTAGATTTTGCCATCACCTACCTCAGCTTACTATGCTGACTACCATAGGTTGTAAAAAAGTTAGATTGTACCCAGATCAATAAATAGCTTCAGTTTAAGAAGTCGTTGGTATGGGCCTTATAGAGAAGTGCACACTTCTCAATTGGAGTCAATGAATGAGAACCTTGAAGGGAATCGCCAAATTTTGTTACTGCGATGGGTTTATTCTTTATATTCTGTCTAATTCGTAGCATAGTATTGCTTCACACCTTAGATCCCAGTTTTCATTTGTTGCTTATGGACTACATTATCCATGTTTAGATTTGTGTCAGCATTGATTTGAGTTTCTAAAGTAGTATGTTGATAAAATTATACAAAGACTTTCACATACATTAAAACCAAACATATTACTAACAGATGTACACTTTACGGCATTGGTTATAAGCTATCCTCGCACAATTCTCAGTATAGGTCAATTACAGCAACTACATTTCCAATAATGGTCTGGTCCCTGTTTAGTTACAAAAATAATGCACAGAAAAAAATGTTTTCTCAGCTTGTAGTAATTCGGAAATTATTCATATTGTACTAAAATAATTTCATTTATAAGAGTTATTTTGTTAGGGCTACAAAACTTATATTTGAAAGTAGGTACAACCATCATATGACTTCAGAACAACTTTAAAGTAACCTTTACAACCCGCATTTGTATGATTCATCTTGTTTTGATTTTTCTATGTATTTCCGATCTGTATTTTACAAGTATACTGTTACACAGATTCCAACAAAAACAAACTGATACAAGTCAAAAGTTTAAGATTAGCTAATACTAAATTGATGAGACTGTCAATCCGATACAAACGAAGTGGTTAAAACACGTGTTGCATGCATTTAATGATATTTAATTATGCATCTTTGGGTTGGTCGTAATAGGATTATAAAACTCTGAAATGGCAAAAATAAAACTTGTCACAAATTCATTAGGACATTAATTACTGGCTGCAGTTATGTGAAATAAGTAGCCGATATTACCAAATTTAGATTTATGAAGACGTGATAATTATTAGCAATTAGTGAGCTAATGAGAAATTCAAAGAGTACCAGATTGTTAATGAGTTTATAGGTATCAGTGCCAAGGTTAGACTTGATAGTTTCAAATAAATTTAGCACTGGGTAAAAACTTAATAATAAGTATATTTTTGTTATATCTCAATGAGTAGAAAAATTGCAGTCCTGAAGTGGTTTACGCTAAGTGACGAAACGTTAGAAATACGATTTTTCTACTCATTGGGATATAACAAGAATATATTTATCAATAAGAGTAACAGAGTTGTTTATACACACCACAGTTAGCAGACCCGCTATGGATTGGACTTCTTTAATTGATTGTACCAATATTTATGTGTTTAAATAAAAATAAATAAAATAATTGATTTAATGTCCATAATAAACTAATTTCAAATTATATATGATATAGATATTTCACTATTATTATTATTAGCTTTATTCAACATTATATTTTTGGTACAATATAGAATTCTCAGCAGGAAGTATTTCAACAAGTTTCTGTTTCTCATTTGTTGATCGATCCTGACGATCAATATTGAGTGATTGCCAGTTAGATGTTAGCAGTTCGGGAATCGACATCTGAATAATGTATAGCAACCACGATGTCTCTGCTTGGGCTTTTTTTGCAAGTTGTACAACAGAAAGTTGTAAACTTTTCATAAACGCGCTTGAACAGGTTGTGAGATTAATAGACATAATCATGTGTTAAAATAAACAAACAAAAGGGGATAACTTATTGAAATATCTAGAGGGCAAAAACAGGTAGCCCAGACGTTCAAGTAGGCCTCTAATGATGATGAGTTGAAATAAACACAGTAGTATTAAAGATATACTAGATGACAAATGTCTTTGCCTCAATTTTGAGCATCTTACTATTCTTCCTTTAGGTGTAATTCGTTTAATTATAATCGTTGAGTTCATTTTAATGTGCTTTTCTCACTTCTTGTAATTTTCTTGTCTGTATGTCAATTTTTTAGGTTTATAATATCAAGAATGAATTCGTTACAAACGGGAGCTGTGGTTTACTAGTCAAAGAACTTGATGAATGGGTCAACGACTTGAGTTCGGCCATACATATCAAGGTTTCGGTAATCAGGTAGGCAGTTACATGAAGAATTTAGCCCATAGACTAGTATACTAACATGTATGTGTTTAGCGATATGTATTATTTTATCTTATTTATTTGATTACTTTTGAGCTAATAAAGAAAGCTTTGGATAACATGTACAAAAACGTATTTATTTAAAATTTATATTAAAATTGAATAGTCTCAAGGAGATAAGATGAATTACCAAATAAAACGTGATTCGAACTAGTCGATTGGGAAAGCTTCAAATAGTTTCGCACTAAAATAAGTACTTAACAATTAAATCACATTACTGAAGGCTTTGGACTAAAAAGGAGTTAAATGAGAGGTTGAATAGAGCTAGTGTCCGAGCAAAGACTTTGTTCAGTAATATCTGTCAGATATATCCATTTAATTCCGATTTAAATAATCTCATTCCAATAACAGGTTTTTCAGAGAACCGTATTCCAACTACAGATTTTGTGTTTAACTTTAGGTATATTGATTATAATTGTACTACTTAACGAAGATCTAAATAAAACACGTTTTCACTGTCCTGGATAAAATGATTAAGATGAATAATGTACGTATCTTCAAAGTGGAAATACAAAATGTAGATTTTAACGTTACATCAATCACGTTTTTGGACACAACTTTTAGTTATCATACTCACATTGTAAATCTAGTGTCAAACTGGTTGTCCAAAAAGTCTTAATTACAGACAAAGCAGAAACAATAAAAATTCCACTGTAAATGAATAATATTACATTCAAAACATAATTATACTTACTTCGTAATATTGGTTTTCAACATCATCAATCAGAAATGCAACACGTACTCGTTTCATGTATTCACGCCAGTACTGTCTTAATTCGGTACGAGCCTCAGTTAACCTAATGAGTATACGATCAAAAGTAATTATATGAAAGACATAATCAACTGGTAAGTCATACGCATCACTTGCATTAGCCCATGTCCCCGTTTTCGATGATGTATCACATTTTATTGTAGTAGCTTCTTCTTGTATAGTTGTACATGACTGATTTGAATTTTTCCTAAGTAGATTTTCACGTATTTTCAAACCCTTTACTTCACAGTGAGAAACACGATGTAACCAATGATGACATTTTTTACGTAATTCGAGCATATTTTCACAACTATAAAATTGGTTTAAATGATAAGTTCTTGATTTTGGGTTGCAATAATGATCCTGTTGTTGATGATAGTTTTGATTAGTGCACTGATTCATGATGCTTTTCAATTCAGAGTATAGATGTTCAACTTCTTCAAAATATTCTTCAATATCCTTTAATTTGAATGGTAAAGATAAGGAATAGTTATTGCACATTATTTATAATTACGAGAAGTAAACACAGGAACTGAATGACCAAATAGAAAAAGTAATCCCGCTTCAAATAAAGAGATGTGAGAAGTAAGAAGCGAAAAAGATTGCGATAGTCGTATTAGATTAATAAGCAACAGCATTAAATCAAATCAAATAACAGACAATAATCCTGGAGTAAAGATTACAAATCCATTCTGTTAAGCTTCAGAAGTAAATGAGATTAATTATACTCCCACAATAATCGGGGTATATTTTAGTACTCAATATTATTTAAAATGATAACCAGATAAAACAGTCAGAAAAATCAAATAAATTAATGGTAAACAACAAGTGAATAATCTGCATATAAAATGAGGCCACTATTCTGTTACTTATTTGTTTTTTGTTCTTTTATCTTACGATTAGACACACATAAAACCAAACAAAATCAGTTTAAGGTTAGACTGGCCAATCATTCGTGACTTTACTTTTATTAACCATAAAATATCATTGGGTTATTGAGAAAATCCATGAATAATTAAAAATATAAGCGTAAGACTTATGTGTTTATGTTTGAGTGTTATCCTTATTATTTAAATGATTGTGCAATGAAGAAATATGATTAGTTATCTATGCCCATTACAGAAAACAGATAGGAAGCATAAATGGATAAAGTTTGGTTGATATATATATATAATACGTACTTGTGAAAACTGAAGACAGAAATCTTTTCGAGTAGCATAATGCAAAATATGTTGTCGAACCTGATGAGAAATGTACGAGTAAATAAGTGCGGTATTCGTGTAATAACTTTTCAATAGTACTGGTTTAAAATGTCAAAAAACAGAAAATGGTATAAATTAGGCAGCCGTTGGATGTCAGAACATAGTTGGAGGTTTCATTATTTCAAAACCAACCTCCAAAGACAGAATTCTGCTCAAGTTTGAGGCTTTCTACGAAACGGTTTTAATTACTGGCTCAGGCTTCTGCGACTGATATTGTTAGAGTCAACATAATATAGTAGTATTAAAACGTCCTATAATGGCTTATTAAAAATTTATTCACGGGTATTACAGGTATAGACAAATACCAGTAACCACTTTTCAACTGGAACACCACTTTCAAGAACCAAAAGTCACAAACTTATTGTACTTCTAATCCACAACCACAAACGCTTCAAAATCACTACAGAAAGCAGTTGACCAGCGTACTTCTAATTAAAGGATCCATTATCAACACTCACTTTAAGTGATCCTAGACCAGTATGATAGCGGACCGAAAAAATATGCAATAAACGAAGCGATAGTATTGTGAGGAGACAGCAGGGGAAAGTTATGTAATCGATTATCAAGAACAATATTTACTGAAATATCTCCCTCAGTTTTGAAAAGTTCATTTCCGTTAAATGAAGAATTTAACAGGAAGCTATGATAAAATAGCCACTGGTTCCAATTCTGAGGCATACCTGACAACTTTGCAAGCCACTAAATTGCACTATCCCTATGATCCCAACTTAGGAGCTATGATAGACTGATATCTCCGAGTCCCATACAACTTTCATAATAAAGTCCCATATTATAGAATGACCACCTCTCCATTTTCTCCACTCAATTCCAGCCTACACAAGCAGCTTGTAATGTCGTGAAAAAAACCCAATCTAATCCGTATCTCTAACCATCAACTGTAAATCACAATCCTTATTCTTCACACAGGTTTAAAGCCCTCATTTAGCCCTAGTCAGTAGGTGGACATTCTTAATGCCACTTTAGCGTCGCTCAAAGGTCATCCACAAATTATGGTCTCACCAGATACTTATTGAATTATTTATATAAATCACATCTCATTCCTCCATTTCCTTATTTTTCCCTTTAAAGTCAACTCAATATTCTTCTAAGTTCTACAGAACCTGTTTTAATATGGCTAATATTATGCAGACATAATTGAAACGTGTGTATAATTGCACTTCTAAAGAAACCTGAAATGATTTATGAGTTGTTTGCGAATAATTCCAAGAATAAAAGCATTGTTCAGGTATATTCAGCGCATTTTATACATTATATTTATCCGCTTAGCACCACGTGAAGACTACCTTGTTCAGTTTATCACAATGCTATGCAAAAGTTACCGTCAGATTTCAAATTTTTGATATACTCGAATAGGGTGCACTATCTCCAGGTCATGCCTATTTTTATAGCCCATAAGTTGAGAGTTTACAAGTCTGACTATGCCTTATATCATTATTTAAGATATTACACTCATCGTGAAAATGACAGTTGTAGTTATTGTTAATTGCATTTGTATGAGCTTTCAGAAGATCTACCATATATAGCTGGGGGTCATCATTACTGCTTTACTATTTGAGAATCCTTACAGTCTGAGTCGATATTTCACTGTGTGTCATATTTTCAACTATCTTCACAACCTGTAACTAGTTATTATTACTAATTTTATTCACGCTTTAAGTAATAGGCATCCAGTAGATAAAATGATCGGTATAAGGAAATGTATTCGATAGAGTGTTAATAATAATAAATTATTTTTGCAAGGGCAGGTACACGCCATTTTTACAGGCATGATCTACAATTTACAACATATACTGGTTCACAGTATGTATCCCAAGCATTGTTGTTTAGTAAACATAATCTATAAAATTGATAGCAGTTCATTCTTTCACATACAATATGTTTTCATCAGAATATTTTCCAAAGGGACATCATGTCCACGTTACACACCAGATCAAATCTCGGCAAAATTGTTTTAGGATTTTGGTCGTGCTAAGTGTTTATGCAATACAAATTCTAAGTTTATAGTTTTTATAAAGTAGACTTGTGGGGCGCCTGGTGCGAATTGTGACCTTGGGGAAGCGGGTTCGTCGAGCTTGTTCCAGATGTCAGAAGTTACATAGCTCCACCCTCAGGGCAAGATTCTGAAGAGAGATGAGAAAAGAAGAATAAAACCGAGGAGCAGCAAGGCATTTGGATATGAACGTTAACAAATGCTTAACATTTAGTAGTGGAACAGACGGAGGTATGATAAATGATTAGATCAAATTGAAACTAGCTCATGTTGTTAGAGTGAAATGTGATCAGGGGCTTCAGATGAATGAAATGTGATGTTTACAATGGTGGAGTAAGTCCTAATGAAGTAAGTGAAGTCAAGATTGGGATGAGAAAGACTTTATTAGAACGGAGATTGCATGTAGAGAGTAGAGTGTTAAGTAAATAGCAACCATATCCTTTACAGTCTGCTTTTGTTTTTCATCATCCGATGCCCGCTATACAGTTTTCATGTAAAAGTCCGAGTTAGCATGTTATAGGTTGTCTTAGTAGAATAGTTAATCCATCATAGAAATTAGAAACAAGAGTCTGAATGGTGAGTGTAGAAGAACAAACTCAATATCACAGATTGATTGACTTGTCCTCATCCATAGAAAGCCTGATACAAACAAAATGTTCTGTCCCACAAACACGGGTGGATTGAAGTCATCGGCTTCACCATCAATGCTTGCTGATCATTAACTCCACCCTCCCTCCTTTTGTGATGTGGACTCATTTACGCTTATTTTTGGATATATATCGTACCTCACACAATGCTCTGTGTTTCACATCCTGTTGGAAAACACTATTTCTGTAAGTACCATTTTACAAGCTTATCAGACAGTTGCAAATTATGAACTGTGGGTAAGGATTTTGAATTACTGATGTCGTTTGGGTTGATTTCACTGTGAAAATCTCATTTTCTCAAACTGAATATACTACAGCTTCAAGAGACTTGTCAGACCCATTAGGATTAATGCAGTTGGGTACTATTCATATTAGGTGCTTTGGAGGACTTGTAACCGTACACCGACACCATTACAAGCGAATGAAGGGCAGCCTAGTTTGACCCAGCTCATCACAAATATTTTAGACATTAAACTATGTTAACCGTACAAAACTACCCATTATGGGGACTGTTCAGATAATACTACTTTCATCTGTGTACGCTTACAGGGTGAATATGAGAACGATAATGGGATCTAATCACCTCAAGTGACCAGCTAAGCTTACGTCTACGAAGTATAGCATGGGCTCCTTTAGTCTTACATGACTTCTTTCACCCCTCACCAGCAACAGAGGTGCCAAGTTTTCACTAACGGATTAGAATATTTAAACACTAACTAAGAAGACCAAAATGTTTCCTCTCATAAAAGTCACCAGAATGCGACAATATCCACTCTGTAATCCTAAAACAATGTGAGATAGCCATCAGTTCACCAGTATGTGACACGTTTAAGCACTCACTGGAGTCATATCAACTGCCAAAAGAGTGGAAACAGTCTACTGTCTATAATCACAGAAAGTGATAGAAAAGATCCAGTCTGCTACAGAACAGTAGCATTACTGCCAATATTTTCCAAGATAGTGGAAGGAGTGGTCGATTAAAAAAGTGGAAAAATGAATGAGAACATCATTCCACATAATGTTCAACATAGGTTTTGGAAAAGCAAGTCCTATGTGTGGAATCATCTCATACCATAGTCAGCTAGCTGATCAACCTGTCGGATCCAAAGAAATAATATTCCTTAACGGTGCAAGAGCCCTTGACACAGTACCGTAAGATATAGTTCTTTAACCGACTTTATTCTTGACCTCGAAGCCACCTAGGAAACTGGTGTTTTTCGTACTAAGGTAGGTAGAGTGAACACGAGCTGCAGGGTCTCAACATCGAGATTTTCATAGTGAATATTCTTAGATTCACTCCTGTTCCTGATATAAACTAATGAACTCTAAAAAAAGTAGCTCAGCATCACTAATCTATGCAGATGAAGCAAAGATCTGGACGTCGATAGAAATCGAAAAGAACTGACTTCTGCTTCAAATGGATCTAACAACACGGAGCGTTATCTAGAGCTAGTAACCATAAAAGCTTAGACACGTGTTAAAACTTCATAAGGGATGAATACAAGGTGAAGCTAACACTTCACTTTATGTGAAGATAACTTGGAGCAAACACCCTCTGATTGTTCCTGATTCTTTTTAACACATACAAGTGCTACCGTCTTAAAGTCTTCAATGTTGGCACACACACATTCTTCAAGGGTGACCTCTTGCACCAAGTACAGAGACGGACAACCAAGTGGGTAGTACGGCTAAAACACTAATCATATAAAAGCGGACTTAAGCACTTGTTTCTTTCTGAGCTATAGGAGTATGGGAGGTTACCTGATAATGATAAACAACATACTAAGTACTCTACGTTACCCAAATGCCCGCATTTTAACTGAATATCAACACTATGTTTCTTTAGGCAAACCATGAAAAAATTAATACCAAAGAGCAAACACCCTGCTGCTCACCTGCTTTTCTCGTCAAGATTTGCTCTCCAAGACGAAGTGAGTACAGCCCTCTCAGTGTATAACTTCAATAGAACATTCGGCAAACGGATTATCATCTATGGATTGCCATCTTCGCTTAAACCAGCTATGCATGATGCAGGCCTTAAAATGTAGGTACTGTTATCATTATCAAATGTCAATAACTCCCCCTATCTCGCTTATTATCATCTCCGCTTTCACTTTCACCCTTAAAATTTGGTCTTTTCACACTGTCTGCATAAACGATTTATTTCTTGAAACAATTTACTTCTAACACTTGAATTATCACTTAAATGCTCTTTACATTGCAACCTACCTCCTACTTGGAAATATAATAGCTGCAGGTGTTCAGAAACCATACTGCTCTGGGACGAATGAACTCATTTGAATTACAAAATATACAAATATACAAATAACCACCAAAGTGACTAGAATCAGTGAAGTCAAGTGGCTAGACTACCACCCATTGACCAATAATAAATTCCGAAAAAAAGAAATTCCAAAAGCGAAGAAGAGAATTAAAAGCAATCAACCGGTGCATAAAATCTTTCTAAACAAATATTGGATGTTTCGGATTCCAACATTCTGGGATTTTGAAGCGGTATTCTTAAATGTGTTGTTACCTCCAACAGAGTTTTCAAATTATGGAGCAAGACGGTATGCCTGTGTACATTAATAATCGAAGAAAAACATGCATATGTAGCTCTAAATTACAAAGTATTAAAAATAATTCCTGTCGTTAAATAGTTTGATGACGATACGTAAGAAGAAGCATTCAAATATGATATAACTATCACAACATACAGTTGAGATTGTTTAGTTTATCACTTAGGTCGTAAAAGTTGACGAACTAATTAAATTTACTGTCTGACCGACTTTCGGAATATATATGTAGAATTAATTTCACGAGTTTACTGATGAAATATTGATAAAAAGTATAGTTCGTATTTCACACTCCCTACTCTCCATTCTAAAATTTTATCATTAGAATGCCTAATCAGATTTCGCTCTAACAGTTTTCAGGGGTTTATGCTTAGGTATATTGTCTGACCTTTTTCGCCCAATTCTTTTTTATATCAAACTTCCTAGTAGGCTGACGTAATATGTTAGATTTTTGATGGTTCTCTCGAAAATTTACAGAGATTATTTAGTGGCACTTGGGAGTACCTTGAGTTGGATGAAAGTACAAGGATGTCAGACAACCAATCAATTTCAAGCAATGGACACCCACTGATTTTAGCTAAAGATATAAGGGAAATACTCTTAAGGAGGTACGCTATATTCACAGGTAAGATCACGTTGTTTTGGGTATATTCTTTAACTACAGGTGGTCATGATAAGGAATTCCGCTCCCTTATAATTTTCCAAGATCGCGGTTTAGATGGATTAGGTGACGATTCATACATTTTTCTTATGCAGTATTTTTCTTCATTATCAGCGTAAGTTGTTTCTCGTAATTATTCTTCAAAAAAGCAGAATGCTAACATGTGTTCAAGAGTTTACTGTCATTATTGATAGGCGTACTGGTAATTGGACAGTTGTCAAGTCAATTGTTGCCAGGCTAAATGTTAGTAATTACCCGAGTTTTTCTCACTTAAATACTTAGGAAAAATTTCCAGGAAACTTACATCAAATATTTATTATCAAACCTCAAGGTTTTATGCAAAGCTTTTTCTTGGAGAAAACAATAAACTCAATTCTTGAAGGCTGTAAAATTCCATTAATTTTCGTCGACAAAACTGAAGAATTGCTTCCTTTCATAGATCAACAACATTTGACAAACGACTTGGGTGGCGAACTTAATTTTGACATTGAAGACTGGCTTACCAACAGGATAGTAAGTAATTTTTTATTTTAAATCCTTCTAAATTAGTAAACTCATTATTATTATTATTATCATCATTTCCATGGAAGTATTTCGTGAAGAAGTTTGGTCAATATTTGGCTTTATATCAAGATTCATAGTGGCTCTTTTCTGTCACATTTGCTTACTTATGCCAGTTACCTCTTGTGGACGGGCATGTGCCGCCGACCAACATTCTCCATCGAACTCTGTCCTGGTCCATTTTTTTCAGTTGTTCCCAGTCGCTATTAATTCTCTTGATGTCTTCCGATTGCCAACACAGTGTGTTCTTAGGTCTTTCTCTTTTCCGTTCTCTTTCACTATTCCAAGTTAGCCATTGCCTTACATTATTTATTTAAACGCAGACATTGGTGCAAGGAGGTACTGAATACTTATGCGCCACACAAGTCACTTGATTTGTGTGAGCTGGAATACTACTTGGGTGCCTAAACCGAAGCAGATGATTTCCTAAAATAGCCACACCCCGAGCCTTCGACCTAAAGGTCTAATCCACAAGGCAGTGGAGCAACGTCAATGGATTCAGTTTCATAGTAGCCGGTGACAAACAATAGATCCATACTCCATTTGTTCCCTCAGGATCCTGGAACTAATGTGCACCATTAATTTGGAATCAGGGTTTCGCAACTCCCTTAGATGGATCCTTCATATCCACCAACCGGGTTAAAGAATTGGACATTCACTTTTCGTTTTCTCAATTTCGTAAGCAATCACACGGCGAAGAGGCAGTGAGTAGGACTTCACTGACAGTGGCTGTACACGCGTGGCCACGTGAGAGTATTTCGAGAGGGAGAGCTCACTTTCTCCACCCTCGATCGTATCAGGCGACTTGGGGACTGGTTTTGTGATTTCCTCAGTATGTGGCCTATCCACCTCCAACGTCTTTTTCTAATTTCCTCTTCAGCTGTAAACTGATTTGTTCTCTTCCATAGTAGACTTTTGCTGATGGTGTCCGGTCAACGGACATTGAGTATCTTGCGTAGACAATTGTTTATAAATACTCACACGTTTTTGGCGGCTGTTAAAGTAGTTCTTCAAGTTTCAGCTCCGTACAGTAGAACTCTCTTGACGTTCGTATTGAAGATTCTGACTTTGACGTTAGATGACAGTTGTTTTAAGTGTCATATGTTCTTCAACTGTAGGAATGATGACCCTGATTTGCCGATCCTCGGCTTTACGTCTGCATCAGATCCTCCACGTTCATCGATGATGCTAACCAGATACGTGAATGTTTCCACCTCTTCCAGAGTTTCTCCATCAAGTGTGATTGGGTTTGCGTTCTATGTGTTGTATGTATGGCGCATATATATCTGGTGCCCGCTTGTATCAGTATTTATGTTCGAATAAATAAATAAATATGTCGTATCTGAGGGTCTTAGTTTTTCCCTTGTGTATTTTGAAGCCTACTGGTTCAGGGGCTGCTGCTACACTAATTGTCTTCATCTGCGTCTGTTGATGTTTGTGGGATAGAAGGTGGAGGTGATCTGTGAAGTCCAAATCGTCTACTTGCATCCAACCTGTCCATTGTATTTCGTGCTTCCTGTCAGATATGGAGGTCTTCATAATCCAGTCAACCACCAGAAGGAAGAGAAGGGATGAGGATAAACAGCTATGTCTGACACCGGTCCTCACTTGGAATGTGTTTGTCAGCTATCCTCCATGCACAACTTTGCAGTGTAGCTCTTCGTACGATATCAGTATGATGGTAGTGATTTCCTCAGGTACATCATAGTATCGAAGAAAGTTCCCTAAGGTTATCCTATCCACACTGTCAAATGCTTTCTCATAGTCAATGAATTTGATGTATAGTGACGAGTTCCACTCGATTGATTGTTCAACAATGATCCGCAGTGTCGCGATTTGGTCGGTACACGACAGTCTGTTGGCCCCGGAGTTGGGGATCTACTGCATCTTTCGTCCGGTTGAACAATACTCTATCGAATACATTTCCTTATACCGATCATTTTATCTACTGGATGCCTATTACTTAAAGCGTGAATAAAATTAGTAATAATAACTAGTTACAGGTTGTGAAGATAGTTGAAAATATGACACACAGTGAAATATCGACTCAGACTGTAAGGATTCTCAAATAGTAAAGCAGTAATGATGACCCCCAGCTATATATGGTAGATCTTCTGAAAGCTCATACAAATGCAATTAACAATAACTACAACTGTCATTTTCACGATGAGTGTAATATCTTAAATAATGATATAAGGCATAGTCAGACTTGTAAACTCTCAACTTATGGGCTATAAAAATAGGCATGACCTGGAGATAGTGCACCCTATTCGAGTATATCAAAAATTTGAAATCTGACGGTAACTTTTGCATAGCATTGTGATAAACTGAACAAGGTAGTCTTCACGTGGTGCTAAGCGGATAAATATAATGTATAAAATGCGCTGAATATACCTGAACAATGCTTTTATTCTTGGAATTATTCGCAAACAACTCATAAATCATTTCAGGTTTCTTTAGAAGTGCAATTATACACACGTTTCAATTATGTCTGCATAATATTAGCCATATTAAAACAGGTTCTGTAGAACTTAGAAGAATATTGAGTTGACTTTAAAGGGAAAAATAAGGAAATGGAGGAATGAGATGTGATTTATATAAATAATTCAATAAGTATCTGGTGAGACCATAATTTGTGGATGACCTTTGAGCGACGCTAAAGTGGCATTAAGAATGTCCACCTACTGACTAGGGCTAAATGAGGGCTTTAAACCTGTGTGAAGAATAAGGATTGTGATTTACAGTTGATGGTTAGAGATACGGATTAGATTGGTTTTTTTTCACGACATTACAAGCTGCTTGTGTAGGCTGGAATTGAGTGGAGAAAATGGAGAGGTGGTCATTCTATAATATGGGACTTTATTATGAAAGTTGTATGGGACTCGGAGATATCAGTCTATCATAGCTCCTAAGTTGGGATCATAGGGATAGTGCAATTTAGTGGCTTGCAAAGTTGTCAGGTATGCCTCAGAATTGGAACCAGTGGCTATTTTATCATAGCTTCCTGTTAAATTCTTCATTTAACGGAAATGAACTTTTCAAAACTGAGGGAGATATTTCAGTAAATATTGTTCTTGATAATCGATTACATAACTTTCCCCTGCTGTCTCCTCACAATACTATCGCTTCGTTTATTGCATATTTTTTCGGTCCGCTATCATACTGGTCTAGGATCACTTAAAGTGAGTGTTTATAATGGATCCTTTAATTAGAAGTACGCTGGTCAACTGCTTTCTGTAGTGATTTTGAAGCGTTTGTGGTTGTGGATTAGAAGTACAATAAGTTTGTGACTTTTGGTTCTTGAAAGTGGTGTTCCAGTTGAAAAGTGGTTACTGGTATTTGTCTATACCTGTAATACCCGTGAATAAATTTTTAATAAGCCATTATAGGACGTTTTAATACTACTATATTATGTTGACTCTAACAATATCAGTCGCAGAAGCCTGAGCCAGTAATTAAAACCGTTTCGTAGAAAGCCTCAAACTTGAGCAGAATTCTGTCTTTGGAGGTTGGTTTTGAAATAATGAAACCTCCAACTATGTTCTGACATCCAACGGCTGCCTAATTTATACCATTTTCTGTTTTTTGACATTTTAAACCAGTACTATTGAAAAGTTATTACACGAATACCGCACTTATTTACTCGCACATTTCTCATCAGGTTCGACAACATATTTTGCATTATGCTACTCGAAAAGATTTCTGTCTTCAGTTTTCACAAGTACGTATTATATATATATATATATCAACCAAACCTGAAATGATTTATGAGTTGTTTGCGAATAATTCCAAGAATAAAAGCATTGTTCAGGTATATTCAGCGCATTTTATACATTATATTTATCCGCTTAGCACCACGTGAAGACTACCTTGTTCAGTTTATCACAATGCTATGCAAAAGTTACCGTCAGATTTCAAATTTTTGATATACTCGAATAGGGTGCACTATCTCCAGGTCATGCCTATTTTTATAGCCCATAAGTTGAGAGTTTACAAGTCTGACTATGCCTTATATCATTATTTAAGATATTACACTCATCGTGAAAATGACAGTTGTAGTTATTGTTAATTGCATTTGTATGAGCTTTCAGAAGATCTACCATATATAGCTGGGGGTCATCATTACTGCTTTACTATTTGAGAATCCTTACAGTCTGAGTCGATATTTCACTGTGTGTCATATTTTCAACTATCTTCACAACCTGTAACTAGTTATTATTACTAATTTTATTCACGCTTTAAGTAATAGGCATCCAGTAGATAAAATGATCGGTATAAGGAAATGTATTCGATAGAGTGTTAATAATAATAAATTATTTTTGCAAGGGCAGGTACACGCCATTTTTACAGGCATGATCTACAATTTACAACATATACTGGTTCACAGTATGTATCCCAAGCATTGTTGTTTAGTAAACATAATCTATAAAATTGATAGCAGTTCATTCTTTCACATACAATATGTTTTCATCAGAATATTTTCCAAAGGGACATCATGTCCACGTTACACACCAGATCAAATCTCGGCAAAATTGTTTTAGGATTTTGGTCGTGCTAAGTGTTTATGCAATACAAATTCTAAGTTTATAGTTTTTATAAAGTAGACTTGTGGGGCGCCTGGTGCGAATTGTGACCTTGGGGAAGCGGGTTCGTCGAGCTTGTTCCAGATGTCAGAAGTTACATAGCTCCACCCTCAGGGCAAGATTCTGAAGAGAGATGAGAAAAGAAGAATAAAACCGAGGAGCAGCAAGGCATTTGGATATGAACGTTAACAAATGCTTAACATTTAGTAGTGGAACAGACGGAGGTATGATAAATGATTAGATCAAATTGAAACTAGCTCATGTTGTTAGAGTGAAATGTGATCAGGGGCTTCAGATGAATGAAATGTGATGTTTACAATGGTGGAGTAAGTCCTAATGAAGTAAGTGAAGTCAAGATTGGGATGAGAAAGACTTTATTAGAACGGAGATTGCATGTAGAGAGTAGAGTGTTAAGTAAATAGCAACCATATCCTTTACAGTCTGCTTTTGTTTTTCATCATCCGATGCCCGCTATACAGTTTTCATGTAAAAGTCCGAGTTAGCATGTTATAGGTTGTCTTAGTAGAATAGTTAATCCATCATAGAAATTAGAAACAAGAGTCTGAATGGTGAGTGTAGAAGAACAAACTCAATATCACAGATTGATTGACTTGTCCTCATCCATAGAAAGCCTGATACAAACAAAATGTTCTGTCCCACAAACACGGGTGGATTGAAGTCATCGGCTTCACCATCAATGCTTGCTGATCATTAACTCCACCCTCCCTCCTTTTGTGATGTGGACTCATTTACGCTTATTTTTGGATATATATCGTACCTCACACAATGCTCTGTGTTTCACATCCTGTTGGAAAACACTATTTCTGTAAGTACCATTTTACAAGCTTATCAGACAGTTGCAAATTATGAACTGTGGGTAAGGATTTTGAATTACTGATGTCGTTTGGGTTGATTTCACTGTGAAAATCTCATTTTCTCAAACTGAATATACTACAGCTTCAAGAGACTTGTCAGACCCATTAGGATTAATGCAGTTGGGTACTATTCATATTAGGTGCTTTGGAGGACTTGTAACCGTACACCGACACCATTACAAGCGAATGAAGGGCAGCCTAGTTTGACCCAGCTCATCACAAATATTTTAGACATTAAACTATGTTAACCGTACAAAACTACCCATTATGGGGACTGTTCAGATAATACTACTTTCATCTGTGTACGCTTACAGGGTGAATATGAGAACGATAATGGGATCTAATCACCTCAAGTGACCAGCTAAGCTTACGTCTACGAAGTATAGCATGGGCTCCTTTAGTCTTACATGACTTCTTTCACCCCTCACCAGCAACAGAGGTGCCAAGTTTTCACTAACGGATTAGAATATTTAAACACTAACTAAGAAGACCAAAATGTTTCCTCTCATAAAAGTCACCAGAATGCGACAATATCCACTCTGTAATCCTAAAACAATGTGAGATAGCCATCAGTTCACCAGTATGTGACACGTTTAAGCACTCACTGGAGTCATATCAACTGCCAAAAGAGTGGAAACAGTCTACTGTCTATAATCACAGAAAGTGATAGAAAAGATCCAGTCTGCTACAGAACAGTAGCATTACTGCCAATATTTTCCAAGATAGTGGAAGGAGTGGTCGATTAAAAAAGTGGAAAAATGAATGAGAACATCATTCCACATAATGTTCAACATAGGTTTTGGAAAAGCAAGTCCTATGTGTGGAATCATCTCATACCATAGTCAGCTAGCTGATCAACCTGTCGGATCCAAAGAAATAATATTCCTTAACGGTGCAAGAGCCCTTGACACAGTACCGTAAGATATAGTTCTTTAACCGACTTTATTCTTGACCTCGAAGCCACCTAGGAAACTGGTGTTTTTCGTACTAAGGTAGGTAGAGTGAACACGAGCTGCAGGGTCTCAACATCGAGATTTTCATAGTGAATATTCTTAGATTCACTCCTGTTCCTGATATAAACTAATGAACTCTAAAAAAAGTAGCTCAGCATCACTAATCTATGCAGATGAAGCAAAGATCTGGACGTCGATAGAAATCGAAAAGAACTGACTTCTGCTTCAAATGGATCTAACAACACGGAGCGTTATCTCGAGCTAGTAACCATAAAAGCTTAGACACGTGTTAAAACTTCATAAGGGATGAATACAAGGTGAAGCTAACACTTCACTTTATGTGAAGATAACTTGGAGCAAACACCCTCTGATTGTTCCTGATTCTTTTTAACACATACAAGTGCTACCGTCTTAAAGTCTTCAATGTTGGCACACACACATTCTTCAAGGGTGACCTCTTGCACCAAGTACAGAGACGGACAACCAAGTGGGTAGTACGGCTAAAACACTAATCATATAAAAGCGGACTTAAGCACTTGTTTCTTTCTGAGCTATAGGAGTATGGGAGGTTACCTGATAATGATAAACAACATACTAAGTACTCTACGTTACCCAAATGCCCGCATTTTAACTGAATACCAACACTATGTTTCTTTAGGCAAACCATGAAAAAATTAATACCAAAGAGCAAACACCCTGCTGCTCACCTGCTTTTCTCGTCAAGATTTGCTCTCCAAGACGAAGTGAGTACAGCCCTCTCAGTGTATAACTTCAATAGAACATTCGGCAAACGGATTATCATCTATGGATTGCCATCTTCGCTTAAACCAGCTATGCATGATGCAGGCCTTAAAATGTAGGTACTGTTATCATTATCAAATGTCAATAACTCCCCCTATCTCGCTTATTATCATCTCCGCTTTCACTTTCACCCTTAAAATTTGGTCTTTTCACACTGTCTGCATAAACGATTTATTTCTTGAAACAATTTACTTCTAACACTTGAATTATCACTTAAATGCTCTTTACATTGCAACCTACCTCCTACTTGGAAATATAATAGCTGCAGGTGTTCAGAAACCATACTGCTCTGGGACGAATGAACTCATTTGAATTACAAAATATACAAATATACAAATAACCACCAAAGTGACTAGAATCAGTGAAGTCAAGTGGCTAGACTACCACCCATTGACCAATAATAAATTCCGAAAAAAAGAAATTCCAAAAGCGAAGAAGAGAATTAAAAGCAATCAACCGGTGCATAAAATCTTTCTAAACAAATATTGGATGTTTCGGATTCCAACATTCTGGGATTTTGAAGCGGTATTCTTAAATGTGTTGTTACCTCCAACAGAGTTTTCAAATTATGGAGCAAGACGGTATGCCTGTGTACATTAATAATCGAAGAAAAACATGCATATGTAGCTCTAAATTACAAAGTATTAAAAATAATTCCTGTCGTTAAATAGTTTGATGACGATACGTAAGAAGAAGCATTCAAATATGATATAACTATCACAACATACAGTTGAGATTGTTTAGTTTATCACTTAGGTCGTAAAAGTTGACGAACTAATTAAATTTACTGTCTGACCGACTTTCGGAATATATATGTAGAATTAATTTCACGAGTTTACTGATGAAATATTGATAAAAAGTATAGTTCGTATTTCACACTCCCTACTCTCCATTCTAAAATTTTATCATTAGAATGCCTAATCAGATTTCGCTCTAACAGTTTTCAGGGGTTTATGCTTAGGTATATTGTCTGACCTTTTTCGCCCAATTCTTTTTTATATCAAACTTCCTAGTAGGCTGACGTAATATGTTAGATTTTTGATGGTTCTCTCGAAAATTTACAGAGATTATTTAGTGGCACTTGGGAGTACCTTGAGTTGGATGAAAGTACAAGGATGTCAGACAACCAATCAATTTCAAGCAATGGACACCCACTGATTTTAGCTAAAGATATAAGGGAAATACTCTTAAGGAGGTACGCTATATTCACAGGTAAGATCACGTTGTTTTGGGTATATTCTTTAACTACAGGTGGTCATGATAAGGAATTCCGCTCCCTTATAATTTTCCAAGATCGCGGTTTAGATGGATTAGGTGACGATTCATACATTTTTCTTATGCAGTATTTTTCTTCATTATCAGCGTAAGTTGTTTCTCGTAATTATTCTTCAAAAAAGCAGAATGCTAACATGTGTTCAAGAGTTTACTGTCATTATTGATAGGCGTACTGGTAATTGGACAGTTGTCAAGTCAATTGTTGCCAGGCTAAATGTTAGTAATTACCCGAGTTTTTCTCACTTAAATACTTAGGAAAAATTTCCAGGAAACTTACATCAAATATTTATTATCAAACCTCAAGGTTTTATGCAAAGCTTTTTCTTGGAGAAAACAATAAACTCAATTCTTGAAGGCTGTAAAATTCCATTAATTTTCGTCGACAAAACTGAAGAATTGCTTCCTTTCATAGATCAACAACATTTGACAAACGACTTGGGTGGCGAACTTAATTTTGACATTGAAGACTGGCTTACCAACAGGATAGTAAGTAATTTTTTATTTTAAATCCTTCTAAATTAGTAAACTCATTATTATTATTATTATCATCATTTCCATGGAAGTATTTCGTGAAGAAGTTTGGTCAATATTTGGCTTTATATCAAGATTCATAGTGGCTCTTTTCTGTCACATTTGCTTACTTATGCCAGTTACCTCTTGTGGACGGGCATGTGCCGCCGACCAACATTCTCCATCGAACTCTGTCCTGGTCCATTTTTTTCAGTTGTTCCCAGTCGCTATTAATTCTCTTGATGTCTTCCGATTGCCAACACAGTGTGTTCTTAGGTCTTTCTCTTTTCCGTTCTCTTTCACTATTCCAAGTTAGCCATTGCCTTACATTATTTATTTAAACGCAGACATTGGTGCAAGGAGGTACTGAATACTTATGCGCCACACAAGTCACTTGATTTGTGTGAGCTGGAATACTACTTGGGTGCCTAAACCGAAGCAGATGATTTCCTAAAATAGCCACACCCCGAGCCTTCGACCTAAAGGTCTAATCCACAAGGCAGTGGAGCAACGTCAATGGATTCAGTTTCATAGTAGCCGGTGACAAACAATAGATCCATACTCCATTTGTTCCCTCAGGATCCTGGAACTAATGTGCACCATTAATTTGGAATCAGGGTTTCGCAACTCCCTTAGATGGATCCTTCATATCCACCAACCGGGTTAAAGAATTGGACATTCACTTTTCGTTTTCTCAATTTCGTAAGCAATCACACAGCGAAGAGGCAGTGAGTAGGACTTCACTGACAGTGGCTGTACACGCGTGGCCACGTGAGAGTATTTCGAGAGGGAGAGCTCACTTTCTCCACCCTCGATCGTATCAGGCGACTTGGGGACTGGTTTTGTGATTTCCTCAGTATGTGGCCTATCCACCTCCAACGTCTTTTTCTAATTTCCTCTTCAGCTGTAAACTGATTTGTTCTCTTCCATAGTAGACTTTTGCTGATGGTGTCCGGTCAACGGACATTGAGTATCTTGCGTAGACAATTGTTTATAAATACTCACACGTTTTTGGCGGCTGTTAAAGTAGTTCTTCAAGTTTCAGCTCCGTACAGTAGAACTCTCTTGACGTTCGTATTGAAGATTCTGACTTTGACGTTAGATGACAGTTGTTTTAAGTGTCATATGTTCTTCAACTGTAGGAATGATGACCCTGATTTGCCGATCCTCGGCTTTACGTCTGCATCAGATCCTCCACGTTCATCGATGATGCTAACCAGATACGTGAATGTTTCCACCTCTTCCAGAGTTTCTCCATCAAGTGTGATTGGGTTTGCGTTCTATGTGTTGTATGTATGGCGCATATATATCTGGTGCCCGCTTGTATCAGTATTTATGTTCGAATAAATAAATAAATATGTCGTATCTGAGGGTCTTAGTTTTTCCCTTGTGTATTTTGAAGCCTACTGGTTCAGGGGCTGCTGCTACACTAATTGTCTTCATCTGCGTCTGTTGATGTTTGTGGGATAGAAGGTGGAGGTGATCTGTGAAGTCCAAATCGTCTACTTGCATCCAACCTGTCCATTGTATTTCGTGCTTCCTGTCAGATATGGAGGTCTTCATAATCCAGTCAACCACCAGAAGGAAGAGAAGGGATGAGGATAAACAGCTATGTCTGACACCGGTCCTCACTTGGAATGTGTTTGTCAGCTATCCTCCATGCACAACTTTGCAGTGTAGCTCTTCGTACGATATCAGTATGATGGTAGTGATTTCCTCAGGTACATCATAGTATCGAAGAAAGTTCCCTAAGGTTATCCTATCCACACTGTCAAATGCTTTCTCATAGTCAATGAATTTGATGTATAGTGACGAGTTCCACTCGATTGATTGTTCAACAATGATCCGCAGTGTCGCGATTTGGTCGGTATACGACAGTCTGTTGGCCCCGGAGTTGGGGATCTACTGCATCTTTCGTCCGGTTGAACAATACTCTATCGAATACATTTCCTTATACCGATCATTTTATCTACTGGATGCCTATTACTTAAAGCGTGAATAAAATTAGTAATAATAACTAGTTACAGGTTGTGAAGATAGTTGAAAATATGACACACAGTGAAATATCGACTCAGACTGTAAGGATTCTCAAATAGTAAAGCAGTAATGATGACCCCCAGCTATATATGGTAGATCTTCTGAAAGCTCATACAAATGCAATTAACAATAACTACAACTGTCATTTTCACGATGAGTGTAATATCTTAAATAATGATATAAGGCATAGTCAGACTTGTAAACTCTCAACTTATGGGCTATAAAAATAGGCATGACCTGGAGATAGTGCACCCTATTCGAGTATATCAAAAATTTGAAATCTGACGGTAACTTTTGCATAGCATTGTGATAAACTGAACAAGGTAGTCTTCACGTGGTGCTAAGCGGATAAATATAATGTATAAAATGCGCTGAATATACCTGAACAATGCTTTTATTCTTGGAATTATTCGCAAACAACTCATAAATCATTTCAGGTTTCTTTAGAAGTGCAATTATACACACGTTTCAATTATGTCTGCATAATATTAGCCATATTAAAACAGGTTCTGTAGAACTTAGAAGAATATTGAGTTGACTTTAAAGGGAAAAATAAGGAAATGGAGGAATGAGATGTGATTTATATAAATAATTCAATAAGTATCTGGTGAGACCATAATTTGTGGATGACCTTTGAGCGACGCTAAAGTGGCATTAAGAATGTCCACCTACTGACTAGGGCTAAATGAGGGCTTTAAACCTGTGTGAAGAATAAGGATTGTGATTTACAGTTGATGGTTAGAGATACGGATTAGATTGGGTTTTTTTCACGACATTACAAGCTGCTTGTGTAGGCTGGAATTGAGTGGAGAAAATGGAGAGGTGGTCATTCTATAATATGGGACTTTATTATGAAAGTTGTATGGGACTCGGAGATATCAGTCTATCATAGCTCCTAAGTTGGGATCATAGGGATAGTGCAATTTAGTGGCTTGCAAAGTTGTCAGGTATGCCTCAGAATTGGAACCAGTGGCTATTTTATCATAGCTTCCTGTTAAATTCTTCATTTAACGGAAATGAACTTTTCAAAACTGAGGGAGATATTTCAGTAAATATTGTTCTTGATAATCGATTACATAACTTTCCCCTGCTGTCTCCTCACAATACTATCGCTTCGTTTATTGCATATTTTTTCGGTCCGCTATCATACTGGTCTAGGATCACTTAAAGTGAGTGTTGATAATGGATCCTTTAATTAGAAGTACGCTGGTCAACTGCTTTCTGTAGTGATTTTGAAGCGTTTGTGGTTGTGGATTAGAAGTACAATAAGTTTGTGACTTTTGGTTCTTGAAAGTGGTGTTCCAGTTGAAAAGTGGTTACTGGTATTTGTCTATACCTGTAATACCCGTGAATAAATTTTTAATAAGCCATTATAGGACGTTTTAATACTACTATATTATGTTGACTCTAACAATATCAGTCGCAGAAGCCTGAGCCAGTAATTAAAACCGTTTCGTAGAAAGCCTCAAACTTGAGCAGAATTCTGTCTTTGGAGGTTGGTTTTGAAATAATGAAACCTCCAACTATGTTCTGACATCCAACGGCTGCCTAATTTATACCATTTTCTGTTTTTTGACATTTTAAACCAGTACTATTGAAAAGTTATTACACGAATACCGCACTTATTTACTCGTACATTTCTCATCAGGTTCGACAACATATTTTGCATTATGCTACTCGAAAAGATTTCTGTCTTCAGTTTTCACAAGTACGTATTATATATATATATATCAACCAAACTTTATCCATTTATGCTTCCTATCTGTTTTCTGTAATGGGCATAGATAACTAATCATATTTCTTCATTGCACAATCATTTAAATAATAAGGATAACACTCAAACATAAACACATAAGTCTTACGCTTATATTTTTAATTATTCATGGATTTTCTCAATAACCCAATGATATTTTATGGTTAATAAAAGTAAAGTCACGAATGATTGGCCAGTCTAACCTTAAACTGATTTTGTTTGGTTTTATGTGTGTCTAATCGTAAGATAAAAGAACAAAAAACAAATAAGTAACAGAATAGTGGCCTCATTTTATATGCAGATTATTCACTTGTTGTTTACCATTAATTTATTTGATTTTTCTGACTGTTTTATCTGGTTATCATTTTAAATAATATTGAGTACTAAAATATACCCCGATTATTGTGGGAGTATAATTAATCTCATTTACTTCTGAAGCTTAACAGAATGGATTTGTAATCTTTACTCCAGGATTATTGTCTGTTATTTGATTTGATTTAATGCTGTTGCTTATTAATCTAATACGACTATCGCAATCTTTTTCGCTTCTTACTTCTCACATCTCTTTATTTGAAGCGGGATTACTTTTTCTATTTGGTCATTCAGTTCCTGTGTTTACTTCTCGTAATTATAAATAATGTGCAATAACTATTCCTTATCTTTACCATTCAAATTAAAGGATATTGAAGAATATTTTGAAGAAGTTGAACATCTATACTCTGAATTGAAAAGCATCATGAATCAGTGCACTAATCAAAACTATCATCAACAACAGGATCATTATTGCAACCCAAAATCAAGAACTTATCATTTAAACCAATTTTATAGTTGTGAAAATATGCTCGAATTACGTAAAAAATGTCATCATTGGTTACATCGTGTTTCTCACTGTGAAGTAAAGGGTTTGAAAATACGTGAAAATCTACTTAGGAAAAATTCAAATCAGTCATGTACAACTATACAAGAAGAAGCTACTACAATAAAATGTGATACATCATCGAAAACGGGGACATGGGCTAATGCAAGTGATGCGTATGACTTACCAGTTGATTATGTCTTTCATATAATTACTTTTGATCGTATACTCATTAGGTTAACTGAGGCTCGTACCGAATTAAGACAGTACTGGCGTGAATACATGAAACGAGTACGTGTTGCATTTCTGATTGATGATGTTGAAAACCAATATTACGAAGTAAGTATAATTATGTTTTGAATGTAATATTATTCATTTACAGTGGAATTTTTATTGTTTCTGCTTTGTCTGTAATTAAGACTTTTTGGACAACCAGTTTGACACTAGATTTACAATGTGAGTATGATAACTAAAAGTTGTGTCCAAAAACGTGATTGATGTAACGTTAAAATCTACATTTTGTATTTCCACTTTGAAGATACGTACATTATTCATCTTAATCATTTTATCCAGGACAGTGAAAACGTGTTTTATTTAGATCTTCGTTAAGTAGTACAATTATAATCAATATACCTAAAGTTAAACACAAAATCTGTAGTTGGAATACGGTTCTCTGAAAAACCTGTTATTGGAATGAGATTATTTAAATCGGAATTAAATGGATATATCTGACAGATATTACTGAACAAAGTCTTTGCTCGGACACTAGCTCTATTCAACCTCTCATTTAACTCCTTTTTAGTCCAAAGCCTTCAGTAATGTGATTTAATTGTTAAGTACTTATTTTAGTGCGAAACTATTTGAAGCTTTCCCAATCGACTAGTTCGAATCACGTTTTATTTGGTAATTCATCTTATCTCCTTGAGACTATTCAATTTTAATATAAATTTTAAATAAATACGTTTTTGTACATGTTATCCAAAGCTTTCTTTATTAGCTCAAAAGTAATCAAATAAATAAGATAAAATAATACATATCGCTAAACACATACATGTTAGTATACTAGTCTATGGGCTAAATTCTTCATGTAACTGCCTACCTGATTACCGAAACCTTGATATGTATGGCCGAACTCAAGTCGTTGACCCATTCATCAAGTTCTTTGACTAGTAAACCACAGCTCCCGTTTGTAACGAATTCATTCTTGATATTATAAACCTAAAAAATTGACATACAGACAAGAAAATTACAAGAAGTGAGAAAAGCACATTAAAATGAACTCAACGATTATAATTAAACGAATTACACCTAAAGGAAGAATAGTAAGATGCTCAAAATTGAGGCAAAGACATTTGTCATCTAGTATATCTTTAATACTACTGTGTTTATTTCAACTCATCATCATTAGAGGCCTACTTGAACGTCTGGGCTACCTGTTTTTGCCCTCTAGATATTTCAATAAGTTATCCCCTTTTGTTTGTTTATTTTAACACATGATTATGTCTATTAATCTCACAACCTGTTCAAGCGCGTTTATGAAAAGTTTACAACTTTCTGTTGTACAACTTGCAAAAAAAGCCCAAGCAGAGACATCGTGGTTGCTATACATTATTCAGATGTCGATTCCCGAACTGCTAACATCTAACTGGCAATCACTCAATATTGATCGTCAGGATCGATCAACAAATGAGAAACAGAAACTTGTTGAAATACTTCCTGCTGAGAATTCTATATTGTACCAAAAATATAATGTTGAATAAAGCTAATAATAATAATAGTGAAATATCTATATCATATATAATTTGAAATTAGTTTATTATGGACATTAAATCAATTATTTTATTTATTTTTATTTAAACACATAAATATTGGTACAATCAATTAAAGAAGTCCAATCCATAGCGGGTCTGCTAACTGTGGTGTGTATAAACAACTCTGTTACTCTTATTGATAAATATATTCTTGTTATATCCCAATGAGTAGAAAAATCGTATTTCTAACGTTTCGTCACTTAGCGTAAACCACTTCAGGACTGCAATTTTTCTACTCATTGAGATATAACAAAAATATACTTATTATTAAGTTTTTACCCAGTGCTAAATTTATTTGAAACTATCAAGTCTAACCTTGGCACTGATACCTATAAACTCATTAACAATCTGGTACTCTTTGAATTTCTCATTAGCTCACTAATTGCTAATAATTATCACGTCTTCATAAATCTAAATTTGGTAATATCGGCTACTTATTTCACATAACTGCAGCCAGTAATTAATGTCCTAATGAATTTGTGACAAGTTTTATTTTTGCCATATCAGAGTTTTATAATCCTATTACGACCAACCCAAAGATGCATAATTAAATATCATTAAATGCATGCAACACGTGTTTTAACCACTTCGTTTGTATCGGATTGACAGTCTCATCAATTTAGTATTAGCTAATCTTAAACTTTTGACTTGTATCAGTTTGTTTTTGTTGGAATCTGTGTAACAGTATACTTGTAAAATACAGATCGGAAATACATAGAAAAATCAAAACAAGATGAATCATACAAATGCGGGTTGTAAAGGTTACTTTAAAGTTGTTCTGAAGTCATATGATGGTTGTACCTACTTTCAAATATAAGTTTTGTAGCCCTAACAAAATAACTCTTATAAATGAAATTATTTTAGTACAATATGAATAATTTCCGAATTACTACAAGCTGAGAAAACATTTTTTTCTGTGCATTATTTTTGTAACTAAACAGGGACCAGACCATTATTGGAAATGTAGTTGCTGTAATTGACCTATACTGAGAATTGTGCGAGGATAGCTTATAACCAATGCCGTAAAGTGTACATCTGTTAGTAATATGTTTGGTTTTAATGTATGTGAAAGTCTTTGTATAATTTTATCAACATACTACTTTAGAAACTCAAATCAATGCTGACACAAATCTAAACATGGATAATGTAGTCCATAAGCAACAAATGAAAACTGGGATCTAAGGTGTGAAGCAATACTATGCTACGAATTAGACAGAATATAAAGAATAAACCCATCGCAGTAACAAAATTTGGCGATTCCCTTCAAGGTTCTCATTCATTGACTCCAATTGAGAAGTGTGCACTTCTCTATAAGGCCCATACCAACGACTTCTTAAACTGAAGCTATTTATTGATCTGGGTACAATCTAACTTTTTTACAACCTATGGTAGTCAGCATAGTAAGCTGAGGTAGGTGATGGCAAAATCTACACTTCATATCTGTTAATAATGAAGTTCAAATCTCTTAATCCAGTTATCGAGAATTGAATCTTTCAACCAGTAAATCATAGTTCTAACTGATCAGTTATTACTACATGTTGGTTATGGGACCAGAATAAATAGTAGTAAACCGTAAAGTGATTTTTGTTATAATGGTTTAATTGAGAATAACTTCTATTTTTCGTATTGATATTGTTTCAATATGCGTAGAATCCCATTCTTATTTTTATCCTTTCTCCAAAAATTCTTTTTGTAGTTTACTAATCTTGCCAGTACATGGAATAATCTCATTGAATCCCTAGTTGATTATTTACCAATTAAAATGTCCAACTCCTCCGCTTTATCTCCAGTACATCAACAATATTATAATCAATCATCATTAAAAGATGATAAGGAGAACAGTTGCATTCCTAATAATAATAATTCATCATGTTCCCCTTCACATTTCATCATACTTTCTGCATTGAAGAATGATGATGATGATGATGACGATGAAACGGATACATCGTTAAGTAAAACAATATTGGAAAGTTTAGAATTACTATCTTGTCGTATATTGGAAGCGGAAGCCACTGGTAATCGATTATTAACAAGATTGAAAGAATTAGATAAGATTGCAAGCAATTTTATTTTATTTATAATTGATAATGTGGAAGAAAAAGGAGTGTTACTAAACAATTCTGATGAGAAAGACAATTATCAAGGTGATTAATTGCATTTAGTATTTAAATGTGTTTTTTGCTGTTGTTGTTGCATAATCTGTGTAAATATGTTCGTCGAATTTATATCATAGGGTATTTTTTGCAATGGAATTTGGTAACCAAGCTGCGTGCAGATATTTGATATTTGAATTTCAAACCTAGTGGTCAGTAGCCAAGTGAACCAATCTCTAGGTCAAAGTTTCGTACTTTTTTCTGTAGGTTTTTTCGGATGATTAATATTGAGTTGACCAGAATGTAAAAGCGTTAAGTAATACTACTTCGACCAGACAAGAGTCCCGGTGTAGTCATCTTAAACAAAGACGAATAAATCAGCAAAATAATATCATTTTTAAGTGATTCCACGAGATTAATCATCGACAGTACCCAGAAAAACCTGACAGATGCATCTGAGAATCGTCTTTTAAGGAAGTTGGAAGGACTCTTGAAGAAGAATTCAATCAATAATCCTACCTGCAACAAATTGAGGCCGAAAGAATCACAATTACCTTACTTGTACGGCTTACCTAAAATGCATGAACCAAACATCCCATTAAGGCCAATATTACCGATAACCAAATCGCCTTTCCATAAACTCGCCTCGTGGTTGATATGGTGTTTAGAACCAATCCGCAAGAAAATGGCCTGCTTACAATCTGAAGGATAGTTTCCAATTTGTACAAAAGCTTGATGGCTTAAATGTTTCCGATACATTTATGGTATCTTTCGACGTCTCATTACTCTTCACTAAGGTTGTTCTAAGGGAAACGGCTGATATTATATGTAATTATCCTCAACTCCTTCCTTTCCCAACCAATGGATTCAAACAGCTCTCGTTTATGTGTACCAGAAATATTCAGTTCCAGTTCAACAATGTGTTGTATCTCTGAATTGATGGAGTAGCTCTGAGCCCAATTTTGTATGATATACTCATGGGAAATCTGGGACAGAAGAAGCTTAAGCACTCAATTGAAGGAACTACACCCTATCGTAGGTATATTAATGACAGATTTCTTGTCTGCAACAATTAAAAACATGATCATGCCAGATTTCGTTAAATAAATATTTTTGTTTAGTTTCTATATTTATTTCACTATTATCTCATTATTACTTAAAGATGGTAGTTTAGCCTGTAAATTATTATTACTCTGCTTTTATTAGCTTTTATATTTATGGTGTGATATCACCTTTTTTTCCTAATTCAGCCCTAACTTTTTTCTCAAAATGTAGTCTTCATCTCTGTTTACTGGAATTTGACTTTTTGAGTAAATCTCGATCATATTCTGTTCATCTTCTTGATTTTCATGAGCACAAAATATTCATAGCCCCACCTAATCTTCAGAGCACTTGTTTATTTTAAGCCTTTTTAGTGTTTGATGTCTCGTTATTAATTTTATTTTCAAATAGTGAAGATTTATTAGTTAGACATATTTTATCGAATCCGGTCGTTTGATTTCAAACTTCATTATCAGGCTAAACAACAGTCTTTACAGTTTGCTAGTGATTAGAGTACCTCACTCAATGATTTCCGTATGTTATTATCAGACTGTGTTATTTGTTAAATTACCAAATTCCTTACACAATCAGCATGGATATTACATCCAAACTTTGTAAGACAACTATTTAGCTGAGAAAAACTGTCATCGCTAAGTTAATATTACTCCACATTGTATAGATATAGTATTTTGATCGTTACTGTTCCATCACTTTCTAATTATCTGTTCATTTTTGATATAATTTTTTAGAATTACATTTGAACAGTTAATGATTAAGCCATTTGATTTTCGGTCAGTGAACTAGTTCTAATTCAATTTCACTTAATTTGGTTTTGAAACCAGACAGTATCACTACTATTAAATTATATATACATATACCTAATCATTAACAAATCAACTGATGGAATCATTTCACTTACTGTAGTATAATCATGAGTACTCATACTTCTCATTGTTATATAATAAAAGTGACTCCTAGTATGATTGTTATTTCGTATATTCATTTATTGTTAGCTAAATCGAGTGAAAGCGTTTTAATCTTAAATGATAATTCATTAGATATTTTTTTACAGCCTCATTTCTCTGTTGTGATGTAAATCGGTTGATCAGTGCAAATTTAGTCTCAAATATTATTTGTCCAGATTTGTCAATAAAATTAAATGGAAGTAATCAACAAAATGATGTTAACTTAAATACCAGTTGCTTATCTCTATATTCTGGAGAAGATGAATCATCTAACCCTGTTATGTCTGGTGAAATTAATCATAGTTCTAATGAAAAAACTGATGAATCTATGCAACAATATTTTCTTCCTATCAAATTTCCTTTAAATGTTAAGGAATGGTCTGTGCTATTTAAAAATATGATTGATTTAGCTAGTATAGATTTACCAAAAGCAGCTGATCAAATTAATCGTTTGCTACAACTCTACACAGAAATTGATAATGTAAGTAGCGTTACTTTTTATACTTACAACATTGTTGTTTATTGTTTTTTCATGTTCATTGTGTTTTTACTCAGTCTTCGCAATTACCTTCCTAAAATATGCGTTCAATAGCTGTACATATATATTTTACAGTTTAAAGGACAATAACTTGTACTTCGAATATTTTTGTCATATTTAGGTTCCCTATGAATAATATGTGTGGCTGTGATTGAACTTTTTCTTCAACTATTTGATGTAGCTACTTTGTTTGATTTTATCGAGTTTTAACATTTCTTTCTATTTTTTGACTCTTCAAAGATTTATTCCCATCTTTATTCCTTATAGGCTGCTTCATGGATCAAAGAAGGTCATCATTTATTGAAGAGAGTAACGCCACCGAATAAGCTTACTACAATGAATTTAGTGGAATGCCGGTCACGTATGGATGAATTGATTACATTCACTTCTTCACGTCAGAGTAGATTAGAGTTGCTTCGAAATCCTAAACTGTTTCATTCACGATTAGTTGGATTATTAGACGCTGATTTGAAGGTGAGTTTTATTTAATTTTTATCGTGAAATATTGCTATAAATTGTTTTCTTTTCTGTCATATTCGTTCTTTAAATTAAAATGGTTCTAGTTTTAAATAAATGATAAATAATTGAAATGAAATTCTCATCACGGTGATCTCTACAAACGAAAAAATTATCAGTTTAAAAATCCCCATAATTCAAAAACAGAGAATTCTTTGTTTTTAAAACATGTATCATTCTGTAAATCTCGTATATTTCATGGAATAAACTTGTTCTTAAATACCAATGCCAGTAAAGTAGAGTACTTTTTTGGTTGGGATAGTCTTTTCCCTATTATCATTTCTTATTGCTTGAAGAATCATTTTTATGTCACAGTATCTTCATAGGGCTTTGGTTCTGTGCTGTAAACTTCTAGCATCGATGCAAACTATAGTTCAAGGCTTGAGCCCTTGAGATGTTGGGAATCGGTGGTTGAAGATAATCGATTAGAGCTCAGAATTCATCACCATAATGAAAATTCTCTTACTTTTTATTCCTTATCTTTAACTTCTCAACTATGTTATCACCATGAATGTAATTCACTTACTAATTACAAGTTTATCAATTGGACTTTGGGCCACACTTTTCTATGAAGTCTAATGATACTACCCAGTTGTCCAAATCGGAGTTTGGGGAATAGGGTTTGAATCTACGAGTAACTGGTTATAATCGGGATTCTTTAGGCGCTAATTCAACCCTTCACTTATTACCACTGTTTTAATACAAAAGACTTAATCAAAGATCTATCTGTAAATACTCTGTAGTTCCACAGTGTCAAGTATTGCTAGTAAAACTGCTTCAATAATAATCTATTCCCCTGCAAGACTATGTTGTATACTCATATTGGTCTGGAAATAGTACTAATGTGATTTATAATCCTCAATGTGATCTAATGTTATATCTCTTTATGCTACACTAATTCCTTAACCGAAGACTTCTGTAATTACGTTTGTTTTGTTCTAATGTTTTCGATTGCTATTCTTCTATTCATTAATGTGTTGTTTTTATTTTTAATTTGTAGAGTCATTTAAGTAAATTATTAAAACAAGTAGAAGATTTAGCACAAAATTGTAATCTTGCTATTGCTTCAATTCGTCAACACATTTCACGAACAAGTTTTCCAAGAAATCATCCCAACTCTCAATCTTTTAATAATAGTACTAATAGCAATGACAGTATTTTGACTAGTCCCGGGACAAATTCACCTATTCAAGAAGCTATTGAATCAGAATCATCATCTTCAGAAGTAGGTTTCTGTTTCTAATACTATATAGCCTAACTGCTTTCCCATAGATCTTAGACTTGAACAATATTTTCAAACCTTTTATTCATGAATTAATGACAAACTAATCATATAGTGTTTTTTAAAATCACACTTGTATTAATCATTCAACATAGATGGTTTTGTATGATAAATTTGCTGATTTGTGTTTTGATCTATGAATTATTGTTTTATAAAAAAAGTGGCATACTTCTGTGAGTGTTGTTAATTTGCTAAAGTTTATAAAATCATTAACTCACTAAGTAATACTTCATATTTATATCCAACTTTAAGTCAGACATTTTATGTAACAGCTAGTGATATTACTTCAGTTAAGTGTAACCAATGTTCGAACCTTCAATTCAGTCTTCATAGGCCGAATGTTTTAATGACTAAGCTACTTTTCCTTTGAGGTAACTATTCAGTAGCCCTATATTTTTGCAGTGTTTGTGTTCTTTCTGTCAATTTATGGTTTTCGTTATAACGTCATAATTTTTTAACAACAGATCAAGCGAACTAACCTACTGTATCTACATTCAACAGGACTGGAAGTTCTCATTTTTAACCTCGTATGGTTATTTATTTTGTTAGAGAAATCTTATTCTTGCTATGCTAAAGTTTTCTGCCTTTATTAAATGTAGGGTGTTAACGACCACAATAAAAAAGTATCCAATCCCATTCAAGACTCGGATTTAACTTCATCAACTCAGTTGTCACGGTTAGAATCTCCGACTTCATTATCAACTCCGGGTAAACGATATCAATTAGCATGGAAAGAACTGGTAGATACAGAAAAATCCTATGTCAATTTTCTACAGCATGTCTATGATGTAAGTTCAATATGTTACAATGTATTTTCAAACTACTATTAAGTGATGCGGTTATAAACCTCTTGTTTATTGCTTGTAATTCTTCATTGTATCTCTTACAACTGTTTACTTATTTTAGCTTTTCACACGCGGTACAAGTACTTCACATAGTCTTCAGGAAAAAAAGCCTGTTATGATGGTTATTTGTATGAAGTGTGTTCTGCGCTTAGACAGCGAAGGTTCAGTCTAATGTCTATAAAGTTGATGGAAAAACTTGTGTACAATAAGATTTGAGTTATTTAATTCTTGATTTTTGTCTTTGTAGTCTACCAACTGTATCTACTCCGATTCCGGTTTCACCATTGTTGTGAGTATCAAAGATACAAAAACATCACAGTCTGCAAATAGTTTTCTAACTTATTAGCCTGATATATCACTTTTTTAAGGCGAAACTTGTCAATTGATCTCCATTGTTTACTTACTCTCATTGTGTAGGAATAGTAAATGTAAACATTTTCTACTGAAATATTTTCATAAGAGAAATTGTATTGTTTATTTTAAAAATTCAATCTTAGTTTATTGATTTTCAGATGAAAATAAATAGTTCGTTCTTTTAATTTTTAACTGTTATTAGATAAATTTAAGAAATTCTTGTAGTTGAAATGTTCAAGTGTTTGGGAACAAAACTTTATCAAATGTGAACCCCTTCTTTCTTATCTTATTGTGAGACCATTTTCATTTGAAAGTTGAACATTTGTATTTTTCCATGCCATAGTGCATGGTTGAGACGGTTTCTAGGTATTGAGTGACAGGGTAACTTGATTCTGAGTCCAAGGAAATGGTAGTTATGTGACCGTTTCTTTTAAGCTTCCAACTTAAGTGGAAAAAAGATAGTCAATGTTCTTTGGATATAAGTCTGTATGTCTACTTTTCTCTGTTTATTCCCTCACTTTTTTACCTGTCCCTTTATATCACCACAAAGTTATCTTACTGGTTTTCATATGATATATGTTTATGTAACACTGATTGTTCAGCGATTTTATCAGATGAAAATGATTCCCTGAATCCATTTGTATTCGAGCACCTTGCTCCAGACTGTCAAGTAAATCAGGGCTCACTGATTTCCTAAAACTTATTAAGTACTAGCTTAGTGGTTAGAGAACTTGGTTTTTAATCAGTAGGTTGCAGATTCAAGCGTCACTCTGCGTAGTTTGATAGTATCTTCATCCTTCATCCAAACAGTATGGCTCAAAGCAAAGCAAACTAAGTGGAAACCTGTGCTTTGCAAATGGGTTGGATATTAATGAGTATGTGTTGGTGTGCAAAATTCGGTACTCTTTTCTATATGGATATCGTTTTCATTATGGGCTGACACCCCTACTGATGAAAATTTAGGAGCATGATTATAAATATTTAAAAATAAGTGATTTGTCAGCTTGTATTTCAAAATCTGTGCTCATGTGTCTAGGAACAAACATTTTTTGCTTGTGATAATTTTTTATTGGTTATAAATTGTGCATTGTTGTAATCCGATTAGTTGAAATCAATTTAGTATAAACCGTTTTGATTGATTGTTAAAATTTACATTTTACATTTGAATTTTATCTTGATAAAAACTTCTGTCAGACAAATCCATCGTCGTTTAATGTAGAACTGTAACTTCTGAAAAAAGCCACATCAGTTCTATTAGACCGGGGTATTCTACAAGTGGCTGTTGATAGATATTGAGATCCAAAACGAAATTGATTTTCTTATTGATCACGTAGAAACAGAACTCAGTTTGTTTCTTTATGTCGTTTGGAGTTGGCAGTAATTGTGATAAGAGAAAGGCTACGCATATCATTAGAAGTAAAATAGAAAAAAATCAATAACTATTTTTCGACCAAGACACAGATTTCTAATTGCATTAATGATTATTGTGCCTGAAAGCTAATAAAATTCTTAATGCAAGAGGAGAAAACTGATTTTCCAGCATTTCAACATATCGTTTGAGCTTGTAATAATCGTCATATGTGTTTAAACATATGAATAAATCACTGTTATAAGATAATGTAAAAGGTATATTTAATTCATCTATGTCGATTCCAAACAGAATCCAGGTATTGGTTGAGCTCTTGAAGAATTATAGAAATCATGAAAGTATTATTGAAATTAAATGGCGAATGAAGAGGGTAGAGATTGGTACGACCATTAGATTCACATCTAAGGCCATAGTTTGAATGAGAAACAAATTTTCGTTTGTGTTCTGTAAGGACACCTTGTGTCGCATATTAAAGATATCCTGCTGATTCGACTGTGTCAGTAAACCCCTCAAAAAACAATATCGAAAAATTGACCAACTTACATTCATTAATTAGTAATTGCAGATCATGTTTAGTGAATGAGAACACGGGTGGGGACAACCAAATGTATTTAATACGGAAATTACAAACTATGTCACTGAAATCTGACAACCATACAGTAGACAGTTAATTTGCAAAATAACAATCAGTTGTCTCAATCTTGACTGTTCCTTCTGTAAATATCGGTCCATCTTCTCTGATTTATATATATATATATATATATATATATATATATATATATATATATGCTACTACTAAATGGTGTTAGGTCTGATTTTTCAATTGTTGATCAGTTTTTTGTCTTTACTAGTTAACCTTCACAGTGTTTGTTCGCTGTAATTTAACAAACAATACTCTAAGATCAAAATTAGTAAGAATTAAAGATCCAATTCACAAAGAACAACAAAATTGTCTATGAAATCAGATGTAGTGTCTGTAATGCAACGTATGTAGGTGAAGCATCAAGACAACTGAATGTGAGGGTGAAGGAACACAAACAATGTTTAAAGCACATTCCTAAATCCTCAGATGATGTAAGGAAACTAGAGAACAAGTCAGCGATAGCATTACACTTGATAGAATCGGGTCATACAATTGATTTCGTTGACACAAGAATCCTTCAAAAAGATTTCAACTCTTACAAAGAAAGACAAACAGCTGAAGCCCTATACATTTGGGCTAATCCAAACAATATTAATAGGAGGGATGGAATACAATTAGCAGTGACATGGCGGCTAATCATTAATAAGTAAAAACCTGAACTCCATAACGTTTTTATCTATTTCGTATTATCTAAATGACAACAAATGCATTCGATGATTTTAATCAGTTGTCTTATCGGAATTTGTTTAACAATTCACTGGAACATTAAAAATGACACATACATACATTTTTTATTAAAAAAATTTACACTCTTTAAAAATCTCACTTTTATTATTTTTATTTTGTTTATTTATCTTCATTTTATACATGCTGTGACAAGTATGATTCATATCATATATTACAAATTGTATGTTTCCTTATAAATTCATTGATAAGCGACAATATCTTATGTGAATGTAATTTCTCCTCTCACCTCTTACGTTTTCTATACAATATGTCATATGAACACATCATTTCACATCACACACCTCTTACACACGAATACACATACCTAGTTTAGACATTGTTAACGTTGATTGGATGACCTATTCAGTGTACAATGAACCCGAAGAACCATGTACCTATTTATATTCGATAATTTTGATGTTTGATTATAATTCCTTGAAAAGGCTTGGACCAGATTGCCAGGCGAAACGTTGGATTTACTACAAATTCATTCGCTGAGATTTTACAAATATATTATTCCTATATAATGTCTTACTGAACTTTTGTTCAGTAATAAAAATACATGAAAACATTATTGTTAGGTAATTGTGTTCGTTTGTGTTGAGTTTGATTGGTTTTGCCGGCTTTCTGTGAATACTTTTAACTGATTGTAAGCCACCTTTGTAGGAATCATTCATTGTTTTTATCTATAACTTATTTCTCTCAGTCAATTTCAGACGACAAGCAATCATCGATAGGTGTGTAATCTGCTTTTTGTTTTCAAAATATTTATACCAATGATTATAATATTTGAATGGAATCCAACAAGATCTTAGATCTGTTTGCCCTTTTTGTTATGAGAATAACGTTGTAATCAGTTATCGATGTCAATAATTGTACTAGTTGATTTTTAGATGCAATAACAAGTCTCTTGCATAGTTGTTTTTTAGTACGTACGTGTTCATGTTTATGTATAGGGTAAGTACATGCCTCGTACATTTGGGGCTGATATGCAAGAAATCAACTGTTCACTAATAAAATGATCAAAACTTATTCTAACATGGTAAAAGTGTTGATAAGTCATTTTTTATTTCTTTTTACAGACGTATTCCATTGATTGTTGTTCGTAATGCTGTTGTTGTAGTTATTAGTGTTGTTTGTGTTTTGATAAAGTGAACATTTGTCGAAATATTGTAAGTTTCCGCTTCTTGTTAGTAGTAGTTAGGATAATCACGGTATTGATGGATCTTCAGTTGATACATTTCGGTTTTGAGCGATAGTCCTGTTTCCAAACATTACTCCGGCTTATTTAGTTTACTTTCCGAGTAGCGTCACCAGCACAAATATATATATATATATATCGTGGATGAGTACTGTTAAGGAGTCCCATACTGCGATCAAACGGTGGTCTAGTGCTTCAGGGTTTTTAACGGTTGTTTATGATTTTAATGAGATTCAATAGTCTCCGCAACCCTATACTGAAAATATGCAGTATAGCTTGAATAATAGTGATAATAATTAATAAATCACTTACTGAACTGTCTACTTGATAGAAATTTAAAACTATCAGTATACCTATACTTATAGGATATTTGTATTCATCCGGATTTGTATTAAAATATCTCTTGAGTAGATTTTTAGCCGAAAGTAGAGTGTACTGACAGCCTTGTACTAACCAATCAGAATTAGGATAACACCTTGTGTATTTTACGCAAAATTTGAAGTGCAGTGATAGATGACTTTTGTATCATTATTAGCTAGATGAAAACTGACAATAATTGATTCTTAAAATGCTCGGAATCAATAAAAATGTTTAGTAATAGACCAAAATACTAACTTAATTGGCGAAAAATACCTGCTCCTAAGGCAGATTGTGTGCTACACTGTAATATTCTCCCTTTCTAAGTCTTCCTCTAAATCTTGACCATTTGTGCTAAGGCGCTGGATTATAATTAATGTCAATACCTATCGTAAATGGTAACCTTAATTTTTAAGCCCAACTGAAAACGCCAACCTTATTCTTCATACCTAACGCAACCTTTCTGCACTATCATCTATGTCAGTAACGAAAACTCTATGGAGTGATAATCCTTATTCAGAATACTTATGTGACTCCTCATATATAAATTTGATCTTTTTCGCTTACCATAAGGAATAATTTTGGATGTGAAGGTTAATTATCCAGATCATAGCTGTTATTCCACTGTTTTTTTATTGGTTTCCATTGTTTATTGTTTTGAAATTATGCAGCGTTCCCTGATTGGCTGATAATTTCCCCAAGTTCATCATTGCATTATACTTTTATCAATTTTTCCTCAGGTGATATGATATTTGGCGAAAATGTTTTGATTTTGCTTTTTAAAATTTATTTGACTATTTAAAATATTCCACTGTGATTTTAAATTAATTAATTTAGACTTTTAGTTGAACAGACTAAAATATGGATATTTGTTGAATTCTATAAATTTTCTGTATATTTTATTTGTTTTTAGGTAGTATGGTTAGATTCTATTGATAGTGCTAATAATAACGAGCTGGGGACTCGTTCGTATCCACAGCCAACATTTATGCGTGATAATCAAAATCGTCTTTTGTGTAATTGGCCGGAATTATTACATTTTCATAGAGAGTAAGGATTGGTTTATCTTCTTTTATCATTAGGAAAAAACATTTTCAGAATGTGGTTATCGGTTGCCTGTTTTTTGCTTACCATTTATAATTAGAAGCAATTGTTTTCACCGTTTTATTCTCAGTATCCTATTTTTAATCTAACTTTTGCATACTTACTGTGTCAAAGAGAGTTTTTTTAATATTCATGATAGATATTTCCTTTTCATGGACAAATGTGGTGGTTCGATGTTAGACGAGGTCTTGTCATACATTCATTCATTTATGACCATTAATAACCTGTATCACTTGTGGTGTAGATAAGTTGTTTGTCTACCAACCAAATGGCGTCTAGATGCAGACTAACGGGTTGGGGTCCATGTGATAACTACGACGAGTGATTGGAGATGCTGTGTAACGCAGCTCAGAATCGTCCACAGTGGTCCATGTGCTTTTATTCCTTATCTTCCTCTCGATATCGACTTCCAATATTCCTTCATTCATTCCTTTCATTATTATTATTATTATTATTATTATTATTATTGTTATTATTATTATTATTATTATTATTATTATTAATGGCTTTATTCAATGTTATATTTTTGGTACAATATAGAATTATCAGAACAAAGTATTTCAACAAGTTTCCTTTTCTTACATCTTGATCTGCCCTGACGATAAATATTGTGGTTCTTGCGGTGATACTGAGCAGTCATCTTGTAAATCATTTAACCAGGATTCTTGAATTGTGATTACATCATAATTACGGTACATGTTTAGACTTGGTAGGAATAGAAGACACACCACATTGCCAATTAATGATCGTCAGTCAGATGTTAGCAGTTCGGGAGTCGACATCTGGATAGTGTTGATTCTTTTCAATGCATATTGCCAGCAACCATGATGTCTCTGATTGTACTTTTTTGTAACTTGTACAGCAAAACATCGTATACTTTTCATAAACGCTCCTGAATAGATGATGTGATTAATAGACATGATGATGTGTTAAACAAAAATAGAAAACTTGTTGAAATATCTAGATGGAACGAACAGGTCGCCTAGGTACTCAAGCAGGCCACCAGTGGTTGTTAAATGAATTATATTCTCAATGTTTATTTTGTTAAATTATTGTCATCCATATCACATCATTTTGATCTCTTTTGCAACTCATTTTATGCTTGTCTTGTTTTTCTCATGCGGTATGACTACTCGAGCCAACCCACATATGTCAAGCTCTGCATTGTTGATGATTGGCTGAATTTGCTGTTAAAATCTAAGTGTATTTTGATAGGAAACTGAAAGTTTCACTTGTTAAATACATCAATGGGCTTTTTTCTCATTTCTCTACGTGTACTGGATTTTATTGTCGACTTTCCTGTCATTTTTCTGTGGTTTAAAAATTAATTGACAGAATAATGTGATGAAATCAATCAGGTGGTTGTTAGATTTTATTAAACTTTTTATTCTGCAATTCATTAACACTACTGGATTTATCTTGTTAACCGACAAAAAAAGGACGTTACAGACTGAAGGTCAAACTGCGCAAAAGTACAATATTTTGATGGAGTTTTGTTCTCTAAGAACAAAACTCCAACAGATTCACATTATTACTCAAAATTTATAGAAATCTACGAAATTGTTGCATCTGTATCATGGCTGTTTGAAACATAGAAACATGGCCATGATGTATGATGCTGATTTTTCGTTTTGAAAATCTTTTCGCTAAATTTCTTTTATTTCTATGCTTCCTAGTTCTGTTATTTTCGATAGAGCGTTTTTATTGTTTGCTACGTATGACTTAAATCTATCATATATCTTTTTACTAAACGATTTTAGTCTTGGGAAACACTATGATCTTTATCATACTAGCTGGTGTTAGAAAATAAATGACAGTTGTTTTGCAGATCATATCTACTTAACATAGAAATTTCAATGTAGTTAATATATGTCACACATTAACCTTTTTGTATGTTTTTACTAATATTTCATCAGTTTTAAAAGGATTGGATTTAGTAATCGGTATTTTTTTTCAGTCCCTTGCTTTTGCTTGTTTTTGTTTTCTCATTTCGCTAGCATATTACTACCGCATTTAATACAATGCAATGGAAATGCAGGAAAACTTAAAAATTGGGTATCTCAAATGGTATGTTTGTTTTAGTTCTTAACCAATGTTTTATTTTATCAACTAACTTACAGGTGATTGTGTATCTTTTTTTCATTAATGAAAATATTTGACTTTTCTTTATTGATTAACGTCCATTCGTATACGACTCGTTTGATAGTGGATTTTACCTCTCTTACTGTACTCTAGTATTTATGTGCTTACCTTCTGTCTATATTCTGATTGAATATTAGCTTAGTTACCGAAGGACTAAAATGTTAACTAATATGTTACATGTTTGAACATTATTGCACCTTATTCGGTTTGAGCAATCGGTTAGTATCACTAGCATTCACGTGAGCCAATGTAGTTCAAATTCAACTACTTACACCTGGATTCGGTAAATGATTAGTTAATAATGAACTGCTGTAAAGAGTCTATATTATCTACTGAATAGATGCATTTTATAAGTAAACTTACAGTCGATGTAGATTTGATCTCACTGTATTCTCTATAAAAAATTACTACAATTTGTGAACTTTCAGATGAAATCTTTCGTTATACAACGAAAGCTAGATGTGTAAATAAATAGTATCCTCTTCCGGAAAACTTTTTCTAATGTTCTTCATTTTTGATCATATATCTCTTCGTCTTTCTAAAAGTCAGTATGCAGTTTCCTGTTATCAGATTCAGTCTATAATTTACGTGTGGGGTGTAGAACTATAATATTTCTTATAATTTGTAGTATCGCATCTTACTTTTTCACTGGTTTATCAATTCCTACACAACATTTGGTAGAAACTTTGGTAATTCACTCTAACTACTCTAGTTTTTGTATTCAGTGAAGGGTCGAAATACTTATGCTTCTCATTGTTTAGGAGTGGTTCGGTAAATACTTTCACTGTTTTTTTTTTCTGTTACTCCTTTCATCTCTCTCCTCTGTCCATTGTGTACTTGAACTTGGTTTTTTCATACAGTTTATCTTTTAGCATTACATAAATTTCAAGTACTAATTCTCTAAGTTTTGGTCTATTTTGAATGCTGAAATATTTGTGTATTTTGTTGTGCTGTCTTCTTCATTGTTATCACTGCTAACTTCTTACTACACTTTTAACCAGATCATTGGGATTTTCGTTTTATTATAATAACCACTTATTAAGTAAACTACACGATTCTTATCAGTGATAAATCGTTTTGGCTAGATCTGATTGAAAAGAATATTATTTCATCACATATTTTGCTCTATATGATTGAAATGGTAAAAATGTAACTGAACTATTGAATTTCGCGTCACTATTTATAATATCTACACAGTTTGAATCTTAATGTCTATGAAGTAGGTATACAATAGTGTAGGTTCAATCGCTTACTATCCACTTTGGTATGTTCAATAGTCATAGAGATAATGTTTCAGTATTTGCGTCGATTGCACATTACCGCTTCGTTTTTTTCCACGTAAGTAATGATTTGAAATGAAAACTTATAAAAGATTTTCTGTTGTTGCCTTTCATCTTTAGGTCCCATATCTGGTAGACTTATACACAATTTATTGTTCGCTTCATGATTGTGCAGTTCAGCTCGGCGTTACCCTTGAAAAAGATCGTATTTATTCTAGCTGGTTAACTGCATGCAATGAAGAGGTTTATCGGAGAGAAATGTCAATAACGAAAATGAATGGTAATGAGTCTTCTTCTGTACCACCTACTGAACTAAATCGTCCTATATTACTGTTTAGTTCTCGTCTTGTGACACCTGTACAACGTTTTCAACGATATCATTTACTATTGGATAGACTTGTTCAACATGAAACTAATGAACTTGACCGGTAATTCTCCCATTATCTTATTTTTTTGTTTGAAAAATACTATAGTTAGCTGACCACTTATTGGCGGTATGGAACAAACTAAAACAATTATTTTGTATATTTTTAATGTTATAACGTAAAGCAACACTGAGTTTTTTTGATTACAGATTGTCCCTTCCGATTTTGTCTGTAAATTATAAGACAGTGGATAGGTAACGGGTATTTCATGACTCTACTCCACCCTATGTTCTGGATTTCATGATTCATCAGTTCAAATAAAAAATATAAATTTTGGTGTGTTTAGTTTATTTACCTAATTTTACACATTAAGTTGTTTAAATATCAACTAATTGTTTACTTCAGTAGTGATATAAGCAAGTTGGTTATTACCTAGTCCGACTATATAGTTCGCCGCTCAAAGCGTGGTACACAAACGTGTATGGGGTTACTCAATTGCATTGGCTTACCATTAACACATCAGTGTTTACTTTTCCCTTGCATCTTCCATATTCACTGTCAGATGTATTTGGAGATCTCATGCAAAGTTTAGTTTATGGGTTTCTGGAAGTTATTTCATTGTGCTCATCATAGATAGAATAATGAGTTATAAGCTTAGTATTTTTCAAAAAATATGTCCTATTAACGTAGTTCTGGTAAATATTTGCGTCTTTTCGTCAATATTTGTCTATCTTTATGAATTCTTAGCAATTCATTACTGTCATTGTTTCATCGGGGATGGTGTATTATCACAATTGACTGGTTGGAGACCGATATTTAAGTTAGTGTTCGTGAAGTGGATCAAATCACACAGCAGGATATTAAATTGTGTTGCATGCCTCGTTGATTGTTGTTGAAAAATGTTATGTTGCTCTTAATGAAAAATCTTCCAGGTTTCGGTTTGTTTTCAGCGGGGAAATTATATGCTCAATGTAAATAGATTTCCATGACAGAGTAGTGACAAAATCATTTGTTATTACTTAAATTTAACTAATTTTCCAAAATTATTAAATCAACATTAGTTGCATCTTAAATAATCTACGGTATATCCATGTGATTAATCCAATGACCTCAATTGTACGTCAACTAGGTAGTTCCCTCAAATGTGTTGATACGCCCTGACACTAAGTAGTAACAATCGTTAAAATTTTGGTCAATGTAACTTCACAAGTCAACTTCAAATACCTAATATTTAAACAGAGAACACTATCGTGCTATATCTTGTTTTTGTGTAATTAATAATCACCACATTGTGTTACAGTCAGGCGATGAATCCTTTTGTTTTCTTATTAAAACCAGTCCAAATATTAATTAATTATTTGATTAAATATCTACTTTTTCCGAAATATTTATATTAGTTGTAGTATGTTGTTTCTTAATTATTTAGCTGTGACCTACAGTCGGCCCATAAAGCTATTTTGGAATTATGTGAAACAGTGAATATTGCTATGCAACTTCGTGGTTTATCGGTAAATTTTTAATACGAAATGTTTCTTGAAATATTTCTTTTTTTCGAAAAAATTACATTGATCTTTAATGCAAATGATCACAATGAGTGAAGTTCTTATCAAAATATATTCATTTCAAAAAAGTTAGTGAATATTCCCTAGTTATCAGAGAAACAATGTCTGTATTGGGACAATATTGAAGAGTTGTAGGATTGTTAATAAGCTAATTAAGTAGTAAAGCTCTAATATAATTATCCCGGACTTACTTGTACACATATACAAATAGTCAGTTAAACAAAGTACGTAAAGATAACGAACTATCCAAGAATAACCAAAGTCCTTAGAACAAATTTTTATAACATCGTTCTATATTTGTGCTCAAAAAAACTCATTGCTATTCGAAGTGGATGCTGAGGCAGCTTTTTAAAACGATACTTCATACTTCATCATTAATTCATTCAACCGAGAGAACACAGCATCATAAAAATTAAAAGTATCTTCTGTACAATATTCAAATCGTAGCCACAAATAGTTGGTATTATAATCATCAGTAAAAGCTTTGAATATAAAAATATTAACACAGATATTTTACCCCAAATTGATAAGCATCTCACTGTTTAATATTGGAATTTAAAGTATTACCGCCTCCACTGTGCATCGAGCTCTCATGCAAATAATGATAGAAAAGTCATAATTCACTCAATAGCACTGTTTTTCTATTTGTTCTCTGTACTAATTAGAAACATACTTGATCATAGACAATTGTAGATAGATTTCACATGATAACTAACTGACTGGTAGATGCGTAAATATGTCATTAATATTTTATTATTTACGTAGTTATCGTTTAAAATTCAATATATATATATATATATATATATATATATATATATATATATATATATATATATATATATATATATATATATATATATATTATATGCTTCAATTATCACTTACATATCACAACCAAATTTCTAATGGTTTTCATCAGTATCATTGTACTGCTGTTTTAAGAACCGAAAGTTAGCTGAATTAATTCAAATTTTTAACTGTAACTGGTATAAAGTTTTACATTGATTCCTTTCACAAATATTTTCCCTAAAGGTTCGTCCATCTGCATTGGGCCCATTTCTATTGCAAGGAGATTTTACGATATCTCGTGATGATGTACGATTTATGCCTAGTAAACAACGTCATGTTTTCTTATTTACAAATGCTATATTACTCACTAAATACCGTACTTCACCAAATTCAATCATACCTGTTTTGATTAATTCAAGTACAGTGATAAATTCTGCAATTTCAAATATATCACAAGATCATTCTGTTGATTCATATGAAAAATCTACAACTACTTATTCAGCATACAATCAATCCAATAATGCATCAGGCACAACATCCAATTTATTGGCTTTCACTAAATCACTTACATCTAGCAGTGGAAACAATAGTAATAATCTTACTCTAACTAATATCCCGACTTTTACTTCTCTTCCTTATTATGAGATTAAACAAGAATTAGAGGTAAGTGTTAGCCCACTAGTAATATATTGCTTTTATTCTTATTAGTATGATTAGATATTATCCATAATTTTCCTTTAATTCATATCGTAAAATTTATAAAATCACTTTGCTGTTAACCAGCATCTTCAGTAAATTTCAAAACAACTATTTTCTGACTTCACTGTATTCCTACATTCTTTGTCAATTCGATCGAATAATCATATAAATTATTAATAATTTTAATATCATATAAACGTAATGGAACGTAAGGTTGTTTATAGTGCTTTCACAAATTAATCATGTTATCTTTTCTAACTCTAACCTTAAACCAAGACCTTTCGTTGTATTACCATATTGTTTACCCGAGGTTGAATAACTTACTAGTGCTTAACGTTTAGAGAAGTTAACTAAAAAGTCTGTATAATTGTCATCCAGTATTCAGGAATAAAGTTATTTCTCCATACCTTTCATTTCTCTAATGTCTAGAAATGCTTGTTTCGAACAAATGTAGACATTCTACTTATGTACATTTCGATGTGAAATAAAATAGTAACTGTAAATCGCTAACTACAGTTTAGTTGGCCCATACTTTGTTGAAGTGGACTTTTCGTTCACTGGTTTACGTATTAAACTTTCAACTATTAAGTAAACCAAATAACCTTATTTTCAGACCTGTATTCACTGGTTTCCATGTCTTTTTTCAGTTTATCGTAGAGAACATGTTCATCTTATAGTTCTAAGTAAGCGTAACTGAAAGACTATGTATAGATTTACGTGATCAGTCTCATGGGCCACATTGTTTAAAGATTATTACAACTACCAAACTTCTTATAACAAGACTGATTTATTTATAAGGTTAATGTTTATTTGTTTGTTTTATATCCTTTTGTGTTTTGTGTGTTCAGCTTTCCAAAATCGGTTTAACTCCTCATTTCCATGGGGATCGTCGTCGGTTTGCTATATGGACTGCTAAACGTGCAGTCACTTATATTTTTCAATCATCTGATCCTGCTATCAGAGATACATGGGTTAAAGCTATAAATGAATTATTAATGGTGCAACTACTTCGTGATCGTTATAAAGTTCTAAATAATACTGATACACAGAGTGCAAAAATATTAAATACTGGAGAACTCTGTTCCAACTCAAATATATCTGATCGTAGTAAAAGCTTACCAGTTAGCAGCAAAGCATTGTCACACAAGTAAGTTTCTCTATGTAATTTAACTTTGGTAATATACCTAGTGGGGTATGTATGACATAGTCTGTTAGAGAAATACTAGTTGAGTATTTATTTGTTAATTAACAACTTTGGTTATCTGTTTAAGCACTGAAAGATCCTAGTGCATTTATGTTGTGTGTTTTACCCCCGTTTTTTCCATAATTTAGCCTTATGTTCATTCATCGAGTTTATCCGAATATTTGTTTTCCACTGTGTTATTCGTTCTTACTTGTGTAAGGGTCAGTCCATTTCTCCAAAATTTTGATTGTTAGGTATGATTACTGTTGATAGACCTGTGGCATACGGTTTCAAACATTTGCTATTTCAAACACCACCCTACCTGCTTCAGTTTGACGGACTTTGTGGTATAGTTAGCCATCACATAATCGATACGCCTGAAACTCATATACATGAATTAGTACCTATAAATTGAGTTGCATTGAAATTCTAAAAGAAAGTTGTGGTCATAAGTATGAATATTCCTCGATGTATTTCGACTTAGATACCTTAGTAGTATCTATAACATGTCTATCTAAGACCCGTATTCAAGACTCCATTAAAGTACTACAAATTTGCTCTCCATCTATCGCTTCTGAAAGCTTGTTTCACGTGCATTTATCCGGGTACCCTGTGGCATTTTCGTCTGGTTTTGCTGGCATTGGTGCCGCACTAAGCGCTAGAACTGAGGCGACAATTACCTATTAGATCCTCACTAACAGTCGATTATGTGCTGTTAGATTGGGAAACTACAAAGTGTGAAGAAATCTGTCTGAGAAACGATGTCTTTTCGTCATCCCCGCCTATACTTCGACAAATTGCAGCCTGGATGCAATAAAGGATTGGTTTACTAGAGGTTCACTGTTCTTCTAATGAAAGTGCGTTCGACAGATATTGTAGTACTAACCTGAGACTTAAATGCTCAGGTCAGGCATCTACGCACAGAAAAGAGTCGTTTAGGTGGCCGATGGGGACTTATTGATCTCAGATGAAGTCTGATAGGGTTGCCCAATCCCACCATTCATCTTCAACTTTTCTGTCGATGACGTTCTGGAAAGAACTCTGATGAATGTGGGTAATGGTGGTATGAATCCGTAGCCTGGAGAAGAACGTTTCGACCTTGTGTATGTGGATGATATTGTCCTAATGTGCGGTGGTACCCATGCCATGCTATCCTCAACTAATCAGTTGACAGTCAGCGTCTTCTAAGTGCAATGTACTTTCGCAAGACTGGCAGGGCCCGATCCTGCACCTACTTTTGGCAGTATACGGAGAAAAGTAGTCGAGAAGTTCGTGTATGTGGTTAGTTGCGTAAGTGCTGTATATATATATATATATATATATATATATATATATATATATATATATATATAGTTTCACACTGTCATTGTATTACGTTTTCTTTTAGATAGGATTTTATTCGTTATAGTATTCCATTGTCTCGTTTTTGATTCTTTTTCTTTTCATTAGAAATCAAACGGGAAAAGGATCAGTTGTATCATTACCATCTGTAGTTTATCAGAATTCCAACAATAAAATAACATCAAATCAATAATTAGTCGGCAACTGATTTCTTCAAGTGTGCAAATCTTATTCTTTCATTTTTTTCTCTTTTCCATCTATTTTTATTATATTTTAGTTTTAACTATTTGTAAGTGTACAGTTAGATTTTTGATTATTTATCACTACAACTTATCATTTTTCTGTTTTCTATTGTAATTACTATTTCCTTTGTGTAAATCCACTTACCTGACTAATTACCATTTATGTCTTTAGAAATGCGTGTTCATATATCATCGTTTCTATTCTCTTTTCTTCTCTTTTTCGTTTTTTAATCTGTGTTATTTATTTTTTGATTTGATTGCATCCATCCATTCGTTCATTTATACAATTTTCTTTCAACTAACTTCACCATTGAAATCATCTCACTAGTCCTTATATTATATCTTCTTTGTTTATATATGTGTTTGTGGGATAAATATGGAAAGTGTCTTTTCTTAAACACATTCCGATTATTTTTATTATTACTATGATTATTCTATCAAGTTGTAAATTTTTCCTTTTTTTCCTATTCAGGAAAAATTTAATATTTTCGAATCAATTTGTGGTTTATTATTTTTCGTTCTTTTCAATATTTTCGCTTTTCATAATAACTTACATCATCCACTCCTAATAATTCATCATAACTTTTCTTAAGAGAACAGTTATATGTAAAGTTAATTAGTAATAGATCCAGTAATTAGATAAAATGTTGATCTTTTATCAAATTAAAGAAACTTCTTTTTTCTTGTCAATTTTTTTCGACCAATTTTCCATCCATTAATTTTAACAGATACAATTTTATTTTGACTATTATTATAATATAACTGTTTATTGAAGTAGGAACTTTACACAGACTAGTGTATTTGTGTATATGTGCATACACAAAGTCTCACTTATTTAGTACACTCATCCACGTACACATGCATACATTTATTCTTTTCAGTTGTTTGTAATCATCATTGTATACTGTACTGGTATTGGGTTGTATCATATTCCGGTAATTCCTTTACATCAATCAATGTAAAAAATGTTAAACATAAGTTGTATATATCCGGTTGGATTTTATTATATAGATGTATAATAATGAATGGCTAGAATAACTATTTTCTATTTTCTGCTACTTTCTACATTTTGTTTGCCAAGCTACCCTTTCTACATTGACTTATTGTTTATTAAAAACAGGCCAATTCAGCCTTGTTAACTTGGTAATTAGTAATGTGCTCCCCTATAATTAGTAATGAAAATTAATAATTTGATTGTGATAAACAGGGTTAAATGTATATACACTGCTGTTGTCCAGGTCTCTTTGATTTTATACGATTTCATGATATCGTTTTTGTGGGGACAGTTGTTTATTTTCCATAATCTATTGTGCATATTTTTGATCACTCTAATTTCTTTTTCATTTTAGATTTCTATCTTTCGGTGTTTCTATGTTAACTTTTTTCTCTCTTCAAACAGCTTTCCAGTCATCTTTTTCAGTGTCTTGATATTTTTTATTGGATTCTTTTAATAGCAGTGTTGCTTTATTCACAAAAATTCAGTTTATCTTCCGTTTATTCAAGTTGACAGACACGAAATAACGACTTCTATTTATTTTTCAGATTAAAGAGAAGAGAAAATCAGTCTGTTTTGTTTTTTAGGTATTGTTTATACCATTACTACTTTGACAACATACATAATTGCTATATATATTATCTAGAGAAATATATTTTGGTAATATTATGCTAGTCTTTTTACTCTAAGATTGAATTCCTTTGGATTATGCATGAAGTGTGTGTTTGCCTGAAAATCAGGTTTTACTTCTATCCATTGTTTACTCCTGTCATTTAAGGCTTTTAAGCATAATAGCAGTAAAGAATACTCTTTCAAAGTTGGTTTATTGTTATGTTGTTTAAATAACTGTAGCATAAATGCTTTAGAGAGTGTACTTTATTTTTATTCAGGAGTTAGTTGATTAATTTATCAATTGAAATGATTCATTATTAGCTTAATAGTTACCGTAATATTTCACTGAATTATTTGATTGAAGTGATTATACAGTCTAAATACCTGGAATACAGGTTTAAACTTTCTTTTGTCTACTTTGCTTTTGTCACGTGGATGGTATCACATATAAGGTGCGCTCCAAATACGAATTTAAAACTTGTTTATAGTTACTTGACTCAACATCAAACTTCTATATATTAGGTTCTATGTTTAAATAGCACAGTAGTCTTTCTAATCGTCACTTAAAAAACACTATAAGAAAATTGATTCTGAAATCTATCACTTGATTACTGATATATCTTAATGATACGTTTAATAAGTTTTTATTCTTCAAAACTACAAAACGTTCTCAATTGTCTTTGATTTTTTTATGAAAAACTTTTAAACATTTACAAAATATTTATCGCTCATAATCCGATGAGAAACAGAAGTGCATGATCTACATCTTCATTTCTTTGTCTAAGCCATAGCCGATGGCAAATTGTTATCCTGACCAGGATTGTGTTTTGATGTGTTCACACTCAGTCCTGATTTGAATGATATCAAACAGTAGCGCTCTGATTGTTTTGTTTTTTAAACTGATTATTGAATGAATTCACTTGGTATTGTTTGTTTGAATCTTCCCATTGATGCTTAGGACTGCAATTGATCAGTCTCTTATTGGCGTATGTGCATACCGTGCGGACTGCCTCGATATAGCCTTAATTCACAAGCATTATAAACAAAGATGGATAGTGGCTAGTAATGGAATCCAAGACGCGTGTTCGTCCTATTTGGAACTGGTCAGATTGATGCACTTGCATCTCAGAGTTGGTGTCTACTCCGGGACTCAAACACCGTACCACATAGCTACTGAGTCGAGGTAGCCACTAGCTTGTGTGCAATGGGGTGAAGTTCTAATTCACTTAGTGTTGTTTGTTTGAATATCCCCATTAATTCAGTTTGAAGCGAGCGGTACTGGGTTGGAGTCCCAGAGTTAACATCAACTTTGAGATGCAGGTACATATAGCTGACCAGTCTCAAACAGGATGAAACACGCGTCCTGGATTCCTCTGCTAGCTACTATCCATCTTTGCTTATAATGAATATTGGATGTTTTTTCTGAAGAAGCGACTTACACCAAGTCGCAGAATGTCAGAAACTAAATTTTATACTCATCGGGATGTTCTGAATATGTTTTGTTATCTGAATTGTAGCATCTGTCTAAATTAAAGCAACATGAGTTCTATCGTGGATCACATTATTATCATCTGTTTGTTGAAATAACTGAATATTCCGTGTAGATGAAACGATAGAAAATCTATAAAACTTTTAATGTAATGGATTCTTAAAATAATCTTACCATACTTGATAACATTTCAGTCATCACTGTAACACGTTCATTAATACAGATTAGGCACCATGAATTTTTAGGAGATTATGCTCTCAATAGAAATCAAATTTAATATGAACACTGTATTCAAGTTTTTTTTCTGCGTCTTTAGAATTTAGAATCAAATTCCGGTTCAAGGTTTCCTGAATTTGATTGGCCTCATTCATTTACTACTGCTTCGTTTAGTTCTGATACTTCAAAAGAGAATAATGAACAGGATAGCAATATCGATATTAGCAGTAATGAACAAATAAAAAATGAAATTGACGACGATGATGATAATTGTCAGCTTTTGAATGTTAAGCAATTTTCTATTGGAATATATTCTGTATTAAAGGATACCGTTGATAAATTTCAACTAGCATTTCGTGACTTACAGTCATCTCAAAAACAACTACAAGATCAACTGATTGCGTTAGATCAAGGTTAGTTTAGTGTATTTTTATAATTTCGTTACAATTATGAATATCTTTAATGAAATTTAAGGATCATCACAATGTAGAAATTTCTGTAACTTCTTAAGCACTTACACTTTTGTGTGTTTATGTAAGAAAACATTAATGATACAGATAAACGATACAAGTGAAAGGAAAGGAGAATGGTTCTAACATGAGATCCGATCCGGTGATGGAAAATGATGCGTTTCAACTACTTAGCCACCTTTCATCGTAGTCCCGATGTACTAAGTTCGGTCCTTTTTAAAGACGAGTAATTCATTGGTTAGTTGAAAAATGGACTTAATTAGATTAGTATCTAATCTAACAGACTGTTGCTCTGATTTTTCCTTTAATTTCTAATGAAGTTTCAATTTCATAACAATAATATATTTAGAAAACAAAAATGAAACCTCGCATATTTAAGTATGTTCAGGTAGATGGGAAAGCAACAGTAGGAAATGAGGGTATATTATTTGAATAAAACTGATAAATAGATGAGTTATTTCGATCGAACACTTGTGAGAAAGTTGTCAGTCGGTTGTTTTAATGTATTAGCAACATATTGGTCAATCGATATTCATAATGGGCATAAATTCATTTACTTTTCATCACAGATTATTGTGAATAATCAAATATTTTTTTATATTCCCCCTCATAATTGTACAAACATTCCTCCTGTCAATCCCTAAATAAATCAGAGCGTTTTTTGACTAACAATTATCAATAGCAAAAAGGCTAGTCAATTATATTCATATTTATTTTCAAACTAGTGCTTACTACCTGTTCTACAGTGATGGATTATCATTATATGCAAATGATTAAAAGGCTATTTGGTAACTGTCAGCTAACTATATTAATCATCAATGTGAAGTTTTCCGATTTTCTTAACAGCTTCGTTTATTATATCTATTAACCTTCCTCCTTAGTATTAATCTGTGATGTCCTTTACTGCCCGTTAAGTTTCCACTTTAATGGGGTTCTTTTTAAGCATTTTGTAATGTTAACTCATATTTATGGGTTTCTATTGAGCAAACTAACTTTTTAACTATCAGATCTATTCCAATTATCCGATATTCTTTTTTGGGCTTTTTTAAATTCAACAAGCAGATGGTTTAGAATATGTACAAATAATTCAACTTCATTTAAATCATAGACCAATATTCTTCTTAAATATTTTTTTTATTTTTGACAAGAATTTACTGTTCCATTTCGACAATATTATTAATATTAAATTAGAAAATATTTTTATGTTGTTTCTCTTCAACTCTTGAAATCAAGCATTAGGTCGATTAGCTAAAGCTCAAGATAGTCCTCTGAATCTAGAACCCTTTGTATTGGTACTACAAGATTATAAACAACGAATATCGAAAGTACATAATTCTTTACGTATTTCACAGGTTAGTGTACTAGTATAAAAATTGTTTCGAATTATATATATATATATATATATATATATATATATATATATATATATATATATATCATAATACGTCTTGTTAATAGTTAGTTAACATGACCTTTTACAAACCTTTATATCTCACTAAGCAGCTCAACTTCAGACTCATGTTTACTGTAATTGTGTTCACAATTTTAGCAATGCTCTTGCGTACATGCAAGTACATTTATGTACAATAATGACTTTCTATACTATTTTCAAACTATTTGTCACCACCACCCTTTTCAGTTTTATATCTATGATTAGAACATTTTTTTCATCATATGCTAATTGTTTGTGCCGTATACGTAGCTGTTTTATTTTTTTTATCATTACGTAGTAGAGATTAGTTACTGATACTGTTAACTAATTGACACTGAAAACTATTTTGAATTTTTCGTTATGACACATTTTAAATTCAATTTTGAGAGATCAAATAATAGAGAAAGTGATGTAGTTTATTTAACATTATAAACACTTAAATCATCGAATACCGGTTCAGTGGTTTGTATATATTGAGCTCCCAGAACGTGACGTGATTGCTTTAGGTTTGATCCTCGGTGGGATCGCGAATGCTTATTTATTTTATTATTTATTTAAACACATAAATATCGGTACAAGGAAGCACCAGATACATATGCGCCGCACAAATCTCATTCGATTTGTGTGAGGGATGTGATACTGCCCAGATGCCCAAACTGAAGCAGGTGGTTTACTTAGGAGGCCATACCCGGGATCTATGACCTAAAGGTCTGATCCACAAGGCAGTGAAGCATCGTAAGGAGATGCAGTCCTATGGTAGCCGGTGACCAACAGTTGGTTCATACGCTATTTGTTCCCTTAGGATACTGGAGCCAGCCCATGTGCACCATTGGTTTGGAATCAGGGTTTTCCAACTCCCCTAGGTGAACTTTCCGTGTCCGCCAACCCGGTTAAAGCGCCGGACATTCGCTTTTCTTCCTCTCAATTTTGTAAACAACACCCCCGCCTTGAGAAGGTAGTGAGTAGGACTTCCCTGGCAGAGGCTATATACGCGTGGTCATGTGAGAGCATTTCGAGAGGAAGGGTGGCCCCTCCCCACTCTCGGTCGTATCAGGGCATTCGGGGGCCGAATGTTGATTGCTGAGGAATCCTGTATCGGGTCTGAATAGCTACTCGATCCTCCTAGTTTCCACTTGTTGTCTGACTACAGTTAGTCCATAATAAACAATAATGATATTAATTCTCAAAGATTTTGTTATTTACTCAACTTTACCAGTCATTGGATATGCTCATTTGTGTCTACGTTGCATATTTTTGAAATTCGTTACTAGTTGATCACAGACAGAGTATTTATTTTCTTTCTTGATGGAAATTATCCTTTGCATCTATTTATTCCATAGACTTATATTGTGATGTGTTTAGCTACTTTGCCATTTTAACCTAGAGATATTTAGTTGACTCCTCTAGCTAACTATGCTGACCATATTTAGATATTTTGGTAAATAGAATTGAACTACGGTGTATAATAGACTCTATTTTATTAGTTTATCCCGTAGAAGAGAATGCTATTTCATTTTATGATTAGAAATACAAAGCTTTATTTTATCGGCTGTTTAATACTAAATTATTAACTTTTAATATCATAAAATTTATGTAATATCTATAGTTACTCTCTTTAAATGTATATACTTTATTTTATAGTATATAAGGCAACGGATAATTCAAATTTCAAGTTGCGTCGTTTCACTTAGATCCTTGTTGGAATAAAGTATGATGTTTAGTAACACATGAAACTGGTCCTAGTATCAGTAATTGTTGTAATCAGAAGTGCATAGAATTTTCTTTGATTATGCTTCTCAAACTGTGATAGAGGAGGGAACATCTATGCAAAGCGTCTTTAAATGGCATATTTTCTTAGAAAAGTACATATTTGTATGTAAATTTGTGACCAAGGTATTTCATACCATTGATCAAGGAAATTGTGTTATTAATGGTAGGATTAAACTATACTGCCGACCTTTGAACGAATCTTAAATGACCTTGAGAAATATTAGCCAATCAGAAGACAATTAGTAAACAGTAAAAATATATTATACAAAACTCAAAAATTAGAGGGGATATTGTTCTTTTACATGACTTAAAAACTTATCAAGGTTAGATATTGGTTCAGAAGTTTTAAAATCATAATGCATCCGATACAGGAACTCATCAATGTGGCTCCATAGTAGTCGACCTCTGGAACCATGATAAGGTCTCAAAAATTCTTTTAGCCTCGACCGCATAGCTTCAATGTTGTTAGCATATTGTTATGGTTTACGGTTTAGGGTTAGAGTTAAGGTTTCGGGTTAAGGGTGAGACTATAATTTTGAACGACCTTTGAGCGACGCTAGAGTGACTCTGAGAGTGTCAAATAATAACTAAGACCAAATGAGGGTTATAAACTTGTAAGAAGAATTCAAATTATGATTTACAGTTCATGATTAAGGCTAGGAATTATACTTAGGGTTTTCATCACGAACTGACATCAGCTATAATGCCAAAACTCTATTTATACAAATGGATAATTGAATTTCGCTCCAAAATCTTATGATCACTTCTCTTGTAGACGCTAAATTATCACGTCTTCCTTAAAATCCGCTGTAAACCGATCGTACGCAAGCATCAAATACCGAACTTAGCGCCATGACCTTGAAAACCCGCGAAAGCCTCTGATTGGCTCGGCAGTATAGTTTAATCTTACATTATTAATTAGTTGAATAAGTTAAATTCATTGTTACCAACCAACATATAGTTTGTTTCATATTGCATACTTCATCATATTCATCACTAAATTATATCTTCGATTTGTGAATGCCCTCGTAGACAGCTAATCCCTACCTATGAATTTTGTCTATAAAGTATTGTTGTTTATCGAAAAAATTTCTAAACATTCACTTTTAATTCATTTTTGTACTGTTTGTTTGAATCTTCCGATTGATGTTCAGGGCTGTAATTGAATTAGAACTTCACCCCATTGCACATAAGCTAGTGGCTACCTGGGCTCAGCAGCTAAGTGAATAACGCGATGACGTTTGAGGCGAGCAGTACGGTGTTTGAGTCCCGGAGTAGACACCAACTCTGAGATGCAGGTGCATCCATCTGACCAGTCCCAAATAGGACGAACATTCGTCTTGGATTCCACTGCTATCCATCATCCATCTTTGTATACAATTCACTTTCAATCTATTGTGTACTCACATTTTACATAGTTTATCGATAATCATATTTTTCCTATGAAGAATCATTTGTCTTCATTAAATAATTAAAATTATAATATAATTACTTTTTGATTCGTATGTAGTTATTTATTTTGAAATACATAATTTCCATTTGATTTTAGGATAGAGTTTTTCGTATTCATCAAAATATTCAGGCGAAGAAAATCACTTCCTTAAAATAATTTCCTCTTCTCAACATGGCTGTTGTTCAGTACTTGAGAGGTCTAGATCTATCTGGTATCAATTTTGAAAAGCATAAAGATCTTTTAGATAAACAGAGAGCTGCTCGACGTACTAACAGTAATACTGAAAATGATAATTCATCCCTTCCTATCCCTTCAATATGGCCTTCTACTGAAATACTTCAAGATATGTGCCGTTTACAGTGGTTAAAATTAAGAAACGTTGGTTTAAAAGAGAAATTTTTACCAAAAGAAATAACACATTTACAACAATTGGAAAGTTTATCTTTAGTTCGAAATGAATTAACTTCATTATGTTCTATCAAAGGTTGGCCAAATGTTTTACCTAGTCTACGAATGATTACATGTCGTAAAAATGAATTAACAAGTCGAGATGCTATTCCTGCCGATTTATTTGAATGTAATAATCTTCAAGTAAGTCTTTAGAAATCAAATTTGATATTTGATTTTGGCATGTTATTGAATCTCTTTCACAACTAATATTCTCCACACAAATACTATAACCAATGGTTAGAGATTGAATAATCGTTTGCAGTAACATAAGTGCATATAATCTTTCTCTTTCTCTAGTATTTGAGTTAAAAAGTCTCCTTATACATTTTTTTCTTCTTATACCAAGTCTTTTATATTTTTTACTCTGAGCAATACGGCCACTTCTATATGTTTCAGTAATAGTATTAAACATTATTTCATTATATACAGCTCTACCTTGCAACGAAAATCCTATGTGCGTTTCCCTGTCAACCCGTTCCGCTTCTATCTAGGTAACCTGGTCGCTGTTTCACTAGCCATCGTACAATGTTCATTTATTTAAAACATATAAACACTGGTACAAAGAGGCACCAAATATATACGTGCCACACCTCATCATTTGATTTATGTAAGACCCGGAGTACTACACGGGTGCCCAAACCGAAGCAGATGGTTTCCTAAAATAGCCACACCCCGAGCCTTCGACCTAAAGGTCTAATCCACAAGGCAGTGGAGCAACGTCAAGGGATTCAGTTTCATAGTAGCCGGTGACAAACAATAGATCCATACTCCATTTGTTCCCTCAGGATCCTGGAACTAATGTGCACCATTAATTTGGAATCAGGGTTTCGCAACTCCCCTAGATGGATCCTCCATATCCACCAACCGGGTTAAAGAATTGGACATTCACTTTTCGTTTTCTCAATTTCGTAAGCAATCACACAGCGAAGAGGCAGTGAGTAGGACTTCCCTGACAGTGGCTGTACACGTGTGGCCATGTGAGAGTATTTCGAGAGGGAGAGCTTACTCTCATCGTTGACTGTGTCAAGACGTGTGGGGGCATCATACAATGCATAGTCTTAAAGCCGTGTATATAAGCTTGTGCTCGGCTACGATGAGTGTTTTTACATAGTACTGTTTGGTCTTGTTAATATTCTGTGGATTCAGTAGAATCTCATAAACTTACAAAGGCGAACGTGAAATTAGCATATTCACTGTACACTCATATGATGACATTTTGTTCACATTTGAAGCATTCGGCATTTGTGTTGTTTTATCGAAATTTTCTGTTATACTGCTTGAAGTTAGTACACTGTTTCTTTGTTTAAGAATTTTATCTGCTATAACTTCACTGTTAGATTAATTGCGTTCACAGTTGTTAGCTTTTTTCTAACTACTATTATAATTTGACTGACTGTGAAGATTTCCATCAAGCAGTATTTTTTAATTTTACTTAAAGGAACTGATATTTCTTGAGAACATGTTTAATTTCATTTCTACTATCATAACTCTTCTTAATCACTTAAATTCAAACCATACGTAGCGAATTGGATAAGTTATCAATGACCCATATTTATTCGATACGATTGGTGGTAGATTGTTGTTGAAAGTTCCATGCATAGATCTCAAGTGTATGTACTTTCTTTAATTAATGTATATTATGTTTGGTAATTCAACTGTCTGATTAAGGTCACCGTATCTCAATAAAAGTATTCATAAAGATCGACAAACTGCTTTTTTTAATCATAAAAAATTTATTTTATGAATAATTTTGAACAAGGAATAAGAGATGTATGTGAATCCTTTTTCCCTCGTATGATATTTTATGGGATTTTGTTTCAATATATTATTTTGTCTATTCCCCTAGTTCTAATCTCTGTAATATATGAGAAGATTGATATCGTTTGCTAAACACTTTAGACAAACGAAACAAATCATTCTGAAACTACATTATTAATATATGAAGTTGATAGAGAATATTCGGTTTAAAAGTAGTTTTCATCACTGATGATCATCTTCTGCAAAACTAATAAAAACAAAATTGAGGAAGAAAGACAATTGTACAACTGTTCTGTGCGAGTTAAAAACTAACCAAGTCGCATACCTACGAACTGACTTTATCTGATCGTCCAACTGGTTGCACTATATTATAAATTTTACTTTAAGTTGAATTTATATAGGCAATTGTATTGTCATTGATTTAGTGTAAAATTATCATGCTCTCATTGAATACCTCAAAGTGATTAGTGTGCATCGCTGGTAAATCACAAGCTAGGATGTTAAACAACCGTATCAGCGTCCTCAAGTTAAGATTATCTGTTTAGTCGGCATTAATCTGTACTGAAAAGATTAAATGGGATTTTATTTAAATGATTATTAGTATTGCCATGGTTGTTTTGTTTTATTGTCTTACAATATCAACTTTTCATTTATTGAACTTTAGTAATGCCATTTTTAATGTTATTCTCTTTTTGTTCCGTATTATTTTTTTGTAGGTTGTTGATTTTAGTTGTAATCAACTGACACAATTACCTAACGGAATTGAAAAAGCTAAAGGTTTATTAGCTTTAAATCTAAGCAACAATCAAATTGCATTAATTTCACCGGATTTATTTGTTCAATGTACGGAATTAATGTTTTTAGATTTAGGCAATAATAAATTAGAAAATTTACCAGCACAATTACGTCGTTGTTGTTCATTACAACAACTAATCCTGTGTAATAATCCGTTACGTCATGCTCAGCTTAGATCAGTGACAGCATTGAAACAACTTGAGGTAAATATTCATTTTTCAGTTCAATGTATGCTTCAGTAATTTAAAATAAATTTTCTATTCGAAATTGATTCTCGTTAGTGGCTGATGTGTTAGGTACCCAAATGCTTGGTAAAGACTTTTGGCTACCTCCTAGTTCCCCAGAGATCTCCTTCGATGAGCATCGAACAGAAGATAAAAGTAGGATACCATAAAACAAAGCTTCACTTTCGAGGTTATTTCAGTTGCAAAACATCAAGATATTTGTACATTTATGCGCCACTTTAATCTTCCAGAATCTTTTATGGACTTGGCAAAATCTGTAACTGTTGAATTGTAATATGATAAAACACTTTGAGAAGCTTCTTCTAACATTGCTTGAACGAAGTATTTTTCTGCCTTTTCTTATCTTAAAAGTTTTCTGAGGAGTACTTTATGGCTCTTAGTTGAAGAAAAGCATTTAACTCCAGACTTTTCAGTAGTGTGCATTAAATCAATTAGTTTATTATTATTATACTTAGCATGATAGCTTACAATGGTTCTTGGTACAGTTCGGAACGTTGGTTGTTTACAATAATAAGTAACAAACTTAATCTGTTTATAGTTTTATCAATGATATATTAAGAATTTTCTTTGTCTATATATTTAATTCCCTGGGAACTCTTTATTCCTTTGTCTCATTTTCGATGCATTTATTATTCCATAAATAAAAACGATTATCACATCTTCATCTTATAGATGAATATATTTTTATATGATGTTTGTGTTAGTATATTTCTCCCTCAAAATTCAGTTTACCGTCAGGGACATTCATTGTTTCTTACGTTGTGTTTATCAATTATATTTTAAGATATACATTCATATGAATAAAAACCTAATGTCATTTTTAGTAGAAAGTGGACTATTTTATCTCTCTATTATATTTTTAAAAAATAACTTCAGAAAGTATACTTTTGCAATACACAGTCATGCTGGTCTCTTGAAAACGTTTTTAGGATTAGCACTTAATGAATAATATCACTAGAAGCACTGGTCTAAAATCATCTTTAACAAAAAATAAATCATATATTAAAGTTTAGTTTTGTATTTTTTCAGAGTCAATCATTACACAACTTCTACTGTTTCTGCGTTCAAATTCGGAATATTCATGTGTTATAGCAAGTATAACACCAGTGAATATCTGACTTATAGTTCAATGGGTAGTTTTACTTAATTCAACCAGTTCTGTAACATGGTGACAGTTTTGCTAATCTTATTATAGTTCACTTCAATAGGAATTCACTTTTCACAAATAAATCTTTTTTTGAACAGTAACCTGTTATTCAAAATAATGATTTCCATGGTAGAAAATTGTAATATATAGATAATTGTGATTATATAATTTTTTTACACTTTTATGTTTCTGTGTTTTTGCCATCTTCTTTCTTTAGGTATTAAATTTATCAGGGACTGAACGAAGATTAGACAATATACCAAATGAATTAGATAAATTAGAACGTCTTATTGAATTAGATTTGTCGTGTAATTTATTGACAAAAATTCCTGAACCAGTTTTATCGGTACGTTTCAATGTGATCGTTTAAGTTTTATTTCTTAATCTTTGAATAAAAAATTTAAAATTTAATCGTGATAAAAATCAACTATTCTTTCGAAAGTACTTGAAAATTATCATTATTATCTATTTCATTATATTAAATATTCAAAAACGATCTGCTTTATTAAAATTTATTATTGTCATCATTTTTTAATTCAATCTAAGTACATTCATTTTAAATTTAGAAGAAAAGTATAAAAGTGGAATTTTTCAATTCTATTAGTTAAATATTAAAAAAAGACAAAGAAAAAAAAGTAATTAGTTAACGACGATATCCTTCTGATAATATTGTCCTTAAGCTGAAAACTATACACAGAAATTGTGTTTATAGTTTAAGAATAGTTATAAATAAATAATTTTTATTTTCTAAGTGTATAAAC